ATATATATATATAATAATACAATTAAATTAGTCAAATATGGTTTTAAGTTATACAATGATATTTTTATGGTATGATGGATGCCAAACTAATGCAATGTGAATTAATATATACATAAAATAATAAAATATAGTTAAATAAATAAAATTGTATAATAATAATAATATAGGTATCTACAAAATAAGTCAATATTGAATTTTAATATAAATTAATAAAAAATTATTTTTTCCCTGGCGGAATCGATAGGTCGTTTTTAAACTATATCTGCATTGGGGGAATCGATGCTGGCGGAATCGATAAGCCTTATACCCAAGTATAAAATGGTCTGGCGGAATCGATGAAACCCCGGGGATGGCAGCACTTGTTCTCCGGTCACCGCGACTTGTCCGGAGAAAAATGCCGCCCGGTAGCCGAGGATCGAACAGCGACCGGCTGCGTCGCAGCGGACGCGTCAGACCACTCGGTCACCTCATCCCCCTTCAATAATATTATTTAGTACAATAAGGGCAAACTTGATGAGACATTTTATATTCAACATAAATATACTACCTATAAAATATAGTAAACATACAATACCTAGTGAAATAGGTACATGTGACAGATTTCGACATTGCAGTGCGAATTATAATGAAATCATCAATAGTTAAGTATGCTTTATGTTATAATTATATTATTTATTTGCTATAGAACCATACACCGTGACTCAAATCATTCAATTTAGGTAACTATTAAGTGATAAAAAATATTCAGAAGCACAATATAATCTTTAAAACAGTGATATTTAGCGACTCATAATGGTGTGGTTGAGGTCCCGTACAGGACGTTTTTCCTGGGTAGGAAAGGGTGGTCGACGATTAGCAGACATGGAAATGTTTTCTTTTTTTTTCACTACAAACTGAAACAACAATTGAAAAATATTTACATATGTATACTTTTACAATCAAAAACTAAATTTATAAATTTTTTTATCATACTTCATCCCTGTGAGAGTAAATACATTTCGTAAACTTAACCGCTTTTTCGCAATGATCTCTATCAACTGGTAAAATAATAATACACTTCGTTATAACAATGATTATTATAATGTGATTTGAAATCTGAATATCAAATAAAATCACACAAGATAAGTAAGTACATGCCTTGCTTTTCGCATATTGCTATAGCTGTTTTCATACTGATTGAAATTCCATTATTAGAATTTGGTTTCGCCATCAATTGTTCTAATTCCTTTTCATTGTAACCTCCATTTCTAGTGGTCTTAATACAAAATGAAAATACAAAAAATTAAAGTTGTATATAGCGTATTAATGATTTTGAAAATTAAGGCAAAAAAATCTGTTTGATAACAACTTGTAAATAATACGAAATGTTCTATAAATTATGAAAAAAAAAATTTTATTTTTTAACTCATATTAAATGCTTTTAATGACAATGTGAAAATAATAACCCTACTAAATTTGATAACTATGATAAAATGTGTATTCTGCAGGCATTCAAAATCAAATTCAAAATTAAGTAATTCATCAGAAACTTTGTTTAAACTTCAATATTACTGTCGTAATGCATGATGAATAAGTACGTACAATAAATTGGGAAGACGAATGCTTAATACCTAATAATTTTTATAATGTAGGAACCTATACAACTTTGTATTACAATTTTTTTATAATATATCAGTTTATCACAGATATTTACGTGTATAAATATATTATTTATATACCTAAAATCTAAATCTTATAACAATAATTTCACTTGTGATTTAATTCTAAGTATATAGATAAATTTAAGAGATCAAACCCAAAATGTACTGAAGTCATTTCTTAAAATAAATTATTATCTATGAAAACAAATTTATGATTTAGACAGCGTATGATAAATATTTAGGTACTAAAATACTAATAAATAATGAAAACAATTAAACAAACCACGTTAAATCGCAACAACATGCAAGCAACATAACATTTTGCTTCTCGGTCATTAATATTTAAAGTATAAACGCCCAATACTCTTTCTAAACATAAAACAAACCTGATTATAATAATTTTGTTATACATACAGTTAAATACTTAAAGTGGTGTGTTTTTATTTTTGTACACATCTGTAAGTTTCAAGTAGTAAAATGTATATAATATACAATTTCGCAGTATATTTACAATATTTATTTACATATAATATATATATATAACAGTGTTGAGCCCAAGAATTTTCAATGGCGGATTAGGAGGAGTATAACCCCTAACCATCCCATCTCTGGGTGCACCACTGATATATGATATACATATTGTATATTATACAATATAGACAGCTGCAATAGTTTAATCAGAATAATATACTGACGGTGAGTCAGTAACTATATAGTTTCCTTTGATACTTATACAGTTGTATATTAAATATTTGTATAGTTTGATCAAAAGGTAAAAAATCGAATTACACAATACAAATCACACCATTTAGAAACAACCATGTATTCCTATAAACTAAATATACCTTAATTATATATATTCACCTGGAGTGACGCGATGTTCTTTCAAGCATTCTCGTGAAATATTTCCAAAAAATCTATTAAATTTTGGTTGAGATTTTCTTTTTATTTGTTGACCCTAAAAAATAATTAATAACAATTTAAATACAAATAAAAAGTTTAGGTTATATGTAAAGTTAAGTAATAATTTATGTTCTCAAACTTCCAAAAACTCAAAAGTCCTACGACGTACAGTGTTCTTTAATATTTTAAAAATAAAATTAAAAATACTTTTATATTTACCAATGAAATTTCAATTTCATTTAATGCCTGCTGAAAGTTATACAACTATTTTTGACCTAATTAATTTTTTTATTTTTGAGCTATAATTGTCAATAATACAATCAAACGTATAGTTATAGAATGTAAGTACTGTGGTGCTTAATTATTATTTATTAGCTTTAAGTGTAGGTAAAAAATGAACGATTAAATTTTTAAAAACGCGTACATGTTTATACAGGGTACCTACCTAGTTTGAATAGTTCTTACAACTTTAAAGCTAAATATACAACATTTAATGTAGTCATAATATGTTTACCTTTAAATTACATATTAACGAAGTGAAGACAATTAATACGAGTAAGTAACAAATCTTCATTTTTTTAACTATAAAATACAACAGGTTAGGTATAGATGATCAAAACGTACAAAGTATAATAACAAGATTTTTCTGTTTATTTAGCAATATTCATATTTGTACCTATGTATACCATTGGATACTTATCTATTTAATAATTTCCGTTTTATTTTATTACATGTGCGTAATAAATGTGATAAAAAATAAATATTTTTGAAATTCGTGTACCATGTTCAATATAATATAGTTCCGGATGTTGGAAATTTCCATAATTGCTTTTGTGACATTTATACAAAAAGTCCTAATTTCCTCGACGAAATCATTAGTGTATAACACATGTGATTTAAAAAAAGTTATTTTATCGTTATAGGATGTTACTGCGTTTTGTTATTCGTTGTTATATAAAACGTTTCCAATTTTTTTAAAAACGTTTGTAACCAAATTACTTAATTTTTGTTACTTATATAACAGCTTCAAGTTGATGACTATTGGGTATTCAAGGGACAAGAGCTTATACCAATTTATAAAAACAAAAACTGACATATAGTTTTTAAATATATCAAAGTTAATAATACAAGCACACAACTTCCTAAAAAAATTGTCATTTAATTGATACATTAAAAAAAATACACATGCATTTATATTTTATTTTAATCCCACGTAATGATTATCCAAAAAGCGATCAAATTTAATAATTTACGGTATGCAAACAAAATGAACAATTTGAATGACATATTTACCAACTATGAAAAAACACGACAGTGCGCAATAACTGATTTAAAAAAATATCAATTAACACAAGATAATATTATAGATTGCATAGAAACAAAATTAAATGAACAAATATACCAAAACTCGCATTAAGAATGTTTGATTGTAGCTCTGTAACATTGCAGTTCGTTTCCAATACTGTTTTTATGAAGGCTTAATGATGTTAATTTTTGTATGTAAGTCATGTATATGTATATTGCATACTTACCTGGTATCTACTACCTATATTGACGAATAATTGTTGAATAAATACTATAGTAAAATACTCCGAGTTACATGCATCGGCTACACGCAACAATATGAGGAAGTTGTTGACCACGGTATAATGTCCTTCATTCCTAAATGTAGTCTTTAGTTTCAATACCATAGTTGTTCATAGGTATACCAGATACTATTGCTAAAAAAAAATTAAACCGCTTTTAAATTGTAAATATACTATATTATTAATACATTTAAAGTTATAACTCGCGATTTATACATGTTTTAAGATATAATTGGTATTAGCAATAACAAGCGAATCGTGAACAGCTGTATACAAGTAGAAAGTGTGGCCACATTTTTGTTGCCTGCATTTATCTATCGTTTGATTCAAAAATCGTGTGACATGTTGCCATGGATACGCGTCAGACTACGTACAAACAAACACAGTATCCTATCAATATTGTCGTTACTATCAATTGTTTAGAATTTTGGTCATTATCTTAGTAATATCATACATATTGTTATACCTACCAATCTATACGACTGTAGTTATACTATACGCTATAGTAGTTTATAAAACAAAATAAAATATAATATATTTGAAAACGTTTATTTAATGTTTTTTTTTTACTAATTTATTAACTATTGTTGTTTAACGCAAACTGCAGTGCTATATACTATGTCTACCCCAGAAGACAATGAAAACCCGTTGGAGGAAAATACAAATCCAGAAGAAAAATCTGACACGATCGAAAAGTTTGACAGAATTTATGAATTCTCACTTATTAGTTTTAATTTTCATTTAATTTCTATATAGTGACTTGCCCTTGGAAAAATTATTAAAATTATCAAAATCATTCAAAACTGGCGTTGATACTAATTTACATAAATTTAAGGTAACTGAATTTCCTAAACATTAAATTTTATCATAGTTTATAGATATCTATATATTAAAATCATTAATTCATTCTTATACATTTTCGTTTTTACTTATTAGGAAGAAAAAATGTCTATGATAAACGAAATGTCTAGTATGAGTTGTACAGTAATACCCAATGAAAAACATATTGAGACAAATGGTTTTTCTGAAAACCTTTCACTAAATAAATATAATAATGTTTGTGGATAATTGTTATGCTTATATTATAAAACAAAATAAAATAACAAATGTCTATATTTCTGATGAACTGCAAATTTAGGAGACTTCAGAAGATTTGTTGTTGGGGAAAAATTGTAAGATACTTAGTATTTCAAAACAAGAATTAGAGTCATCTGATGCCCAAACCAATAAAAACGAAATCAAAAATGATTTGCTGGTAACGGGATATCATGATCATAAATTAATTCATAAAATACCTATTAAAATTGTATACACTTTTAGAGAAGAGAAAACGATTGTATGAACACGCCATCTACACAGGATAAAATTAGTGAGCTGCATCAAATGTTAAACTTTGACCAAACTAATAATGGAAAAACGAATTATTTAAAGAAGATCCTTGAATTAGAAAACAAATGCCAATATTGGATGGATAAATATGATGAATTACACGAAAAATACTTGCGACTGGAATCCAAACGTATACGCATCGAAAAAGAAAATTGTGGTAAGAAGTACAGTGTGATCATTGATTACAAATTATACCATTCATTTTTTTTTGCTAACGACAATTTTTTTAATCAATAATCAAAATAATACCTATTAATTTAACATAAATTGATACAATCATATACACTTTATTAGATTAATATTAAATATAGAATATATATTTAAGTTAAAAATATTGTGTTTTAAAAAGCGCTAAAAAGGCTTATGATTAATTTATTTTGTATAGTAGCCATTAGCTATTAACCATATTATACGCTTCAAAGCAGATATTTGTACTTATGGATATTTTTATATGCTCAGATAATCCCTAGTTTTGACATTTTGGAAATTTAATCAACCGTTCTCTTAAATTTTCTAATTTCTTGTCTATAATTATGAAGTTAGTCAGCATTCCTTTCATGGCAAAAATCAATAACACATAAAATACATATCCAAATGGCGAGCAACATGTCTCACCATCTACTTGATAGAAAAAAATTTACTTTTTATGTGTCAATATCTAAGTTATCATTTGCATAAATTTACAATTCCAGTTCTGAAATTCATAACACCCCTTTCCCCTCAAAATCAAAGTTACATACATTCCGTATAAAACACGACTTTCCATCCCTTAACTATAAAATGTTTCGAAAATTATTAAATTGATCATATTAATTCTAGTAATTGTCCATTGATCGACGCTAATAAATTTAAATTAATTAACTATAAATCATTGTTTTTATAAAATAACTATTCGGAGCTGATCTCGTTTGATCATTTTTTTATTTTTATTGTGAATTTAATTTAAAATTCTTAATATTCAACACCAAAAATTGAAAATTACTAACTTACTATAGTATCATACCAGCACTAAAAAAATTATTGGTAAATTATTATTTTTGAAGCAAGATAATATTTAGTATAACTATGTAAATAATGAATGTTATAAAAATTCAAAATCGTTATTATTTACACAGTGTACATAAAATAGTTATATAATCTGTTATTTCTGAAAGTATTTTCAATCTTGTTAGCTGTGTCGGTACATATATATTGGTAATTTTACTTAGATGCATTGTGTGTTTATAATTGTGCGGTTAGGTTAGGAGTTTTTAAATGCTTATTAAGTTTTAACATCATTTCTTAAAGTTACACCCCCCCAATAAAAAAAAATTGAAATACACAACTGATAATTTAGAATAGGTGATTTTTTTATTTTCTTAGTTTTTAGCGTAAGGATATATAAATTATATTAAATATAAATATATAGTACACAATACTAAAATGTAATTATTTTAGATTATCAGATGGAAATATCAAGAGTCAAAATGATTGAAAATGAAAACTCTCGTCTTCACCAAGCAATAGATAAATCCAATCGTGGTAAAGTTAAATATTACTCCAAAATGTTTAAACAAAATCATTTTAATACATTTTTTTGGCATCAGTAGTATTAAAATTTATTTTACTTATAGTTGTAATAATAAATAGTTGTACTAAAAATATTTTTACATGTATTAAAATTGACAAGAATTAGCATTATTAATGTCATACTTACTATTATTAGTTCGTAAAGAATTAGAAGTCGCACTAGAATCATGCCACGAAGTTATTTATAAATATCAAACGGATGTAGAAGTCGCTAGGTATAAAGTTAAAGAAGCACTCGAAATGGTAGAAAAAACCTATTCAGAAAAAGATAAGCTTGTGACAGATTTACAACAATCAACTGGTTATTAAAATTTATCAAATTTTAAAATCTATGTATCTTAAATATAAATTTCTCAATCACTAAAATTTCAGAAAAAATAGTCAAATTAGAAAATGAGTTAACAAATTTAATACAAGAAGCAGGTACAAAAGTCAGTTTGGAAGTGGAGAAGGTGAAAGCTATGTACAAAGATAAATTACGTGAGGCTAATGTCGAAATCGAGTTTCTACGTACGGTGAGTATTTTAATATACCTAATAAATACTTCATCCACAAAAATTGTAGGTACATTGAATTAAATTTAAAAAAAAATCTATGAACTAATTAGAGACAAATTTGTCAATGTCGAAACATTTTTTTATTGACTTCACATTTGAGATATTCTTGAACTAAAGTGCTGACCTAAAGTGCCACCTATATGAATTCTAGGAAAAGCAGATCATGTCTAATAAAACCCAACAGATATCAAAAGAATATGAAACTATAAATAAGAAATATACATCTATCAATCAGAAGTTGTTGAATGAACCAGATGTATATGCAAAGAAAGTGGTGATGCTTGCCCAACAAATCAAAGAATACGAAGTCACGTTCAACAATTTAATAGCAGATGTCGAAGTTCTAAAAGAAACAAATAGGCAACTCCAAGAGAGGTGTGTACAAAAATATTGTAAAAGTATACAGACATAATAATATGTCCAAAAAATGTATTTACAATTTAAAAATTACTTGACGAAAACAGTCATCATATTATTATTTGAATTTGACGTACGAATTACTACGAAATATTGCTATATTTAAAAACTAATTAACTAATATTATTAATTTAATACCAATTATTTTAATGAACACCGTAAATTTGAGTACGGCAACCTAAATATGAACACTCAAGCTCAAGCTTCGTATCAGTACCATAACCAGCTTATCAAAAATTATTTTTGAACATTTTATAAATATAGTAATTTAAACTTCAATGTCTTGCTTATTACCTTTTAAGCCTTTAAAGTATGCTGATAATATAAGGTAAAGTATATTTGATGATGTTAAATCATGTTTCTTATGAATTGTATAAAGCTGGATTAATTGGTATTACATAAAAATTATCTATACTAAATGTGTCCTCCCCACCACAAAAAAAAGAATAAATAAATTTAAAAAAAATACATGTGTGCCGGTTATATTACTGATATAATGATACCTTTAAAATATTATGCTTATTGTATCAATAAATGGTTATTACTTATTTGATATTATTTATCAAATATTATAATAAAATTAATATTTACTTGTAAAAACAGTTTACACATTCAATACTTAGATTTTAGGCGGATATGTCTAATATTAGTATATAAATTTGATTATATCGAATTTAGATTTCCGATCCTATAATTTGAACTAAAATTGATTTATTTAGGTACCTATATAGATTTTAAATTGTGTATTTTTACGAAATAACCTAACCTTATTTAATAGCTTAGCACTAGGCAATTTATTCTGAAAACTAAATGTGCACAAATGTATAAAAAATATTATTATATAATCGCGCCTTGTGAATGTTAACAGTTATGCGAGAAAAAAAACTAAATATGTAATGGAAATAACATTTTTAAAGGATACAACGAAATCACTGGAAAATCATTTAAACAAAGCAATACATGAAATATCTGAGAACAATGGAATCATTTTGGAATCATCAAATAGAATAAAGACATTGGAATTGGAAATTAGTAAATTGTAAGAATAATATAGTTAACTCTGAACAGGTATCTATAACATTAAAGAAGTGATATAAACAGATTTTGTTATATTTGTATGAAAAATTACATTAATACAACATTTTTTTAAATATATACCTATATAATGAATATGTACATATTTAACGTTGGTCTTATAGAACAATATTAAAAAAATGTCCCACTACAGTTTCATGAATCATGATTTAAAGAAAATTTAAAACAGAAATATAAAATAGATTAATATTTATCAAAAACTAAAAACAAAAATTTTTAAAAAGTTATAGTTAACTATAACTCTTGTTTTGATGCATAGGGAAGTTAGCGCCTTCCGTGTTTCACGTTCAATGCACATTTTATACATAAAACTATGAGAAAAAACTTAATAATATATTCTTAAATGAAAACATTATTTTTGTAGGAAACGACCTGAAGACAATTTTGAACAGAAAGAAATGCAAATTAACGAACTTATAGAACACGTTGAAGCACAAAAACAAATGGTAGAAATGTAAGATGATTTATATTAACATATTAATAAAACGATCTTTGAGAGGTACTGACCTACATACATTTAGGAATAACTAAAATTTGTTTTTAGGAATAGTAGAAATCATAAGTAGTAATTTATTTCTAATGCATAGTTAAAATAACTTGGTAGTTATAGAGGCGCCTACCTAATTATTAATTAATATCAATAATAATAATACACAAATTTCAAACTAAATTTGCTTAAATTCTAAACAAAATTATAGGTGGAGAATAGAGATGCACAATATGATTGAAGGATTTAAACACAAAATCAATGAACTCAAACATAACTGTAGTAAACTTTATAAGAAAAATGGAAAATTAAAACGATTAATAGATAATTCAAAAGCTAAATATTCGATTTCCAGAAAAAAACGAATGCACAAAACAAGGAAAAATAAAAAGTATGAGAAATATTTTGAAATTTAATCTAAAAGTGCGTTTATTATCCACTATAATTATTTATTCCATTTTTTTTTTAGATCAAATATTTCATCCATGTCAACGTCGACGTAGTGTTCTGTGATGGATAATAATTGCCGATATATATCATTGTAAATTAATATTAAATTAGATATTAAATTGTTTATTATTTGGGTTTGGAATAATAATTTGGTTTCACAAATGGCATTTTCGTGACGATCAAAGGTATCTTCTGTCCTCTGACCTCCGCTTGTATTTCCGTTCCGTTTTTGGCAAATTTGCTGTCCACGTAGCCCATGGCTATGTTCTGGGATAACGTCGGGGACGGGCATCCGCTAGTAACCGAACCGACTTTTTCGCCGTCCACTACGTTAAATAAAACTGCTCCACCCCTAACCGGAGCGCCGTGCGCTTTTTGAACGAGGCCGACCCTCTTACGTTGCGCGCCTTCGCTGAGTTGTTTCAGAATCGCAGTTGCGCCTGGAAACCGTCGTTCGTCCCTTCTCTTACGGCCTATATAAATAACGAAAATTCTTCGTAGTGAAAACAACACATAAAATATAATGCGGCTTGCAATGCAACGTCCCTGGACCAGACGATATTGGCAGGGAAGACACTAAACGAGGAGTAGAAATAATTTAAGGGTTATATTATAATATATATTCATACTTATGGTCCACATCAACGCAGCTTCGACCGGCGTCGTTTCGGGGCTTATATCCGATCCGTGTAAACACATGCCAGCTTCCAACCTGCAAACGAAAATTGAATCATCATGTACATGTTATTATATTATAATTATACGGTCATGCCGCGGTGATGATCATGATCATAATGATGAACAATAATGTTATATAATAAAATAAAACGGATTAAGTCGGTCGATTACAGTGCCTCAGAGTGTCCCTGGCTCCTAGCCCGGCCAATTTCACTTCGTCCTGGGCGACGAACGACTCGGCGATCTCCTCGACCCGATCGGAAGGGATGGATATTTCAAAACCGTCTTCGCCAGTGTAACCGCACCGGGTAACCCGACAGTCCGGCACACCACAAACCGTCGTCGTGGTCGAGTCCATGAAGTATAGCGACGATAGGTCAGTAGACCCGTCGACGAATGATTGCAATATGGCCGCAGAACAGGGTCCTTGCAGGGCCAGAAGCGACTGTGCGTCACTGTCCAAAAACTCTAAGCTTGCGTCGTGACCACTCGATTTGAAAATGGACTGAAAGAATACCCAATAAGAAGACATGAGATGGTGATGACCAGCGATGTTAAGAGAGAGAGGTGGGGAATGTCGGTAGAGGCGAGATTGTGGGAAGGCTAGTGGAAAATAGTATTTAAGATTCCGAGAGGAGCACTGAATGTATTGATTTCATAATGATGAGTGTCAGATTTTGTCTGTCATCACTTTTTGAAGCAGTAAAAATGCTTCAATATACAACTTTGAGAGTGGTTTCTAGTAGAAAACTTGCAGATTTAATATTGGTCTACTTTGTCAAAGTACTTTATTTTTTTTCAACCTATTTAACAAAATAAACAGGATAAAAACATAAAATCAAGGAAAATAACATGACATTACGCGAATTAAATTTTTGATAAAAATATTTTTTCGTTTTAATTCAAAAATAAATAATGATAGAGACTTGATTTTTTAACTTTAGATTATACTAGTATTTTCTAGATATGGTATAATAATTTCAAAATATTTTTGAACTTGTGTTCTATTCATAGACATTTGAATCTTATGACTTATTTTTTTTTTCGATGTATGTATTATAAAAATTTTGTTCTTAATAAAAAAAAGTGAAAATGTAATAATCTAGAGTTTTTGGAACCCATTTCCCATGTAATTTGATATTTAAATTAATTATATTTGCAAATGTGATGATTCAAGTTTTTATTTCAATACGTGAGGCTTGAAAATTGAATACAACACATATCCTCACATGTTTTTTTACTGGAAATTAAAATGAAAATGTTCGTAGAGACTTGACATTTTTGTTACTGGCTACTGTGTATAATGGTTTCTACTAGACTCAAATTTGTACCTATCTAGTATCTAGTATCCGCTTAATCAGTTTGTTTTACAATATGATAATTAATAAATATAAATTATGACGTACTCACCAATTGCTCGGTTAACATTCGCATGTCCTGTTCCTTGCAACCGGCATTAGTCACCATGTACAAAAAATCCCCATCGGTTTTCGTTATGATCAAATCGTCCAGTATGCCACCCGTCCGATCATCGATGAACAAGCTCAGCGCGCTTTTCCCCGTCCCCAGATCTAGACGACAGAATACATCGATGCAAAATATATTGTTATTAACTGTTATGTGATCACTTCGTGCGCAATCGTTGTTCGGGCCAAATAATTATGACTGCAATATGATATAGGTAAATATTGGTGCAACAGGTTCGTGCATGTGTTTTGGTCTCCATCTTGGACTTTGGGGGGGGGGGAGAAAATTTTTGTTTATCCGTACTCACTCTGTACGTCCGTAACACAAATCCGTTCCATGAACTGTTCTCTGTGTTTTCCGTGAATTTTCGTCTGCAACATGTGAGACACGTCGAACAGAGAACACTGCCGGCGAGTGTGGAGATGAGAGAACGCTATGCTGTCGTCGTATTTGACCGGCATCATGTAGCCAGCGAACGGCACCATTTTACCTCCATGACGGACGTGAAACTCGTGCAATCTCGTTTTTTTCACATCGCTTCCGTATGATCGTGCTAAAAAAATCACACAATAGGTCATACGAGACATGTCTGCTAATATACATATTAGGACACTAGGTAGGTATCATAATATAGTAATGGATATTATAACATATACCTAAGTACCTATACCACGGTGTTCCTGTGACACTCACCAGGTGATAGTAGTCGGAAAAACGTCAATTTGCAGTTCAGTTTCAGCAGTGACATAACTAAATTATTCTGTGTTTGTTAGTCAGCCTTTAAACGAATGAACAATAGATACAAGCACAGTACCTACGTGGGCCGATTAAGTTTTCAATCGAACGACGTTGATATAACTGAATAATATTCAGTAGGTGATAATCTATAACAATATAATATGTATAAATTTTATCTTTCACACCAGAACTATTTAATAATGAGAACGTTAAATATGTATCAATTGTTATCGACAAATATAATAGTAGAATTGATACTGTTATTAAATAATTGTAAGTGGTATGTCAAAGTTCAACAATATTGATAACTATACATAGAAATGAACAGTATACCCATACCCATATATTTAAGCATTTTAATACACATATTATAAAACGAGTATAGGAGTACTGACGAGAATAATAGTAAGAAATATAATATTATGTATTATCATAAAGAAAAATATTAAAAAGAAAGGGAGAGAGGATTCCACCATGGGGAACTCCACAGTGCCGCAACTAAGGTTAATAGGGCTGAGGTGCAATACCAAATAATAGGGCCCCTTACTTACCAACATTTTACAACATTTTTTCATGAAAAATATATTTATATATGTAAACGTTAAGTATCCACCACAATTTAAATTTATTTTTAACTAAAAAAATACAAATTTACATTAGATAAAAACATTTACATTACAAAAATAATAACATATTTATAATATTAAAATTACTTTAAAAAATTTTTTTTTCTGCTTTTTTGATTGGCAAAGTCAATAATTAATTTTTCTACATCAAGTTCTTCAGTGCGAGCTCTTTCTATATTTAATATACTTATGTTTGTTAGTTGGTCTTGAGATATCGAGTTTCTTAAATAGTTTTTAATCAGTTTAAGTTTAGAAAATGACCGTTCGGCCGATGCTACAGTCACTGGTAAACTTAAAAATATAATACAAGATGTAACAACTTCACTATACAAAGATGATAGGTCGTTTTCTATTAAATATAAACATAATTCTTTAATTGTTTTCATATCAGTGTTTTTTATAAATTCCTTTAAAGATAGAACTTGACTAGTTAAATCGGAAGTTACGTCAGTTTTGTAAAACTGAATAAAATCATAGCATGATTTTACTATTTCTGCTTCATTTAATTTTATTATATTTGGTGGCAATAAAAAATTTAAAGTATTTGATACTACTTTAAGTCCTTTAAAACGATCTTCGAGTTGAAATAAAGCAGTATCAACTAATGATAAAAAAGTGTCTGCTAGATTTCATAGTTTCATTTTCATCACTAAAAATTATGTCCGAAGGAAAGTTTATTGACGGTTTGCAAGGACCATATGATAGAATTTGTTTTTTCAAATTAGAACTGATTGTGATATTTTGAAAATGTCCTCTATCTGTTGGAAACTCCAACTTTAAATCCAATTCACCAACTAATCATATGCAAATTAAAAAAAAAAATTTTTAAAATTTCTAGAATAGGTACTATAATAATTTTAACTAATTGATATATTCCTGGTTTATTAAAAATAAACTATTACTGATTCTGCTTTAACTGGTAACATGATTGTTGCAACAGAACATAATATATATTTTATTTATAGAGTATAGACATTAGACACATATTATTATCTATATTATTTTCTAATTTACTATGTAATAATTTTAAGTCTTTTTCAATTATTTAAAGAGGGCCCCTTTGGGGCCCTCTAAATTCTCTGCTGGGGGTGCAATGCACCCCCTGCACCCCCGGTAGTTGCGGCACTGGAACTCCAGCTAAGTTTTTTTTCAATTTTAGATACTGAGGAACTAAACCGGATTCGGAAATGACGATCACTTAAATAAGATTTAGTTAATAAAAATAAACAGGGGGAGAGACTTTCTTTTAGTTTAAAACGTAATCACAGTAACAAAATCTTTCAAACGCTTGGCTGATGTCAAGAAAGGCACAAGTGCAATAGTACTTTTTTTCTGGGGGACACGAGATTGCGTCAACTAATCTATGTACTTGGTGTATTGCACTATGCGCTGAGCGAAAACCAAATTGCGAGTCAGGTAATATCTTGTTCGTGGAAATGTAACTTTAAAGTATAAGTCTTTCCAGTAGCTTACCTAGAAAAGATAACAGACTTATTGGTCTGTACGAGGAAGGCAGATCAGGTGGTTTGTCTGGCTTAGGAATCAGGACTATGTTTGAAAATTTCCACAGAAGTGGGAAGTAGATTCAAAATAAATAAATAATAACAGGTACCTAAAGCATATTGCACGATAAAATTCTGCCTGTGGGGCGTGACAAGCACAATGCCCATATTCAATGCCAATGCATACAATATCACAGTGCAATAGATATTAAATTATAAGACATTAATGTTCTGTAATTTGTATTTGTATTTAGTTTTCAAGTTTTATTTTGCTTATTTCATCGACCATCGTATACAACTCTAATTCCAGGATCTGATATTCAGTCAAAATTAAAAGTACCTGTTTATGTTGTTTACCTACCTATATACATATCTTTTCAAAAACTTTGGTAAATTAAAATATACTGACTTATCTGATATTACATGTGTTAAGTAAAACATGAAACAAGTCTTGAACGTAGACACGTCACCTGCAATGGTGAGCCTTAGCAAACCTAGCCCCTAAGAAAAGTCAGTGAGCCCCTCAATTTTATTTTTAAATATTTTAAATATCATGGTGTTTAATTGTCCTGAATCCCGGATGTATATCATAGGTAGGTACTATGTTTAATTAACAATGGTAAATTTTAATTAAATTCCAAGATTTTATTTTATTTAAACACAATATTAGGCGTCTAATAATAAATTGAAAACACTATTTAAATTTATTAACCAATACAGACAAATAGACAATACATTGTTAAAATTAAGTATTTTTTTTTTTAGATATTGTGTAATGAGGAGGGGGTGATAGAAGGCACCAAAAGCAAAGAGGGGCCAAAACCTGTTGGCCACTTAAGGAAAATGTCTGGCTACATGCCTGCTTGAATGCTTTCGTTCACTTTCAACACAAAAATAGTATGTGCTATGTAAATTATTCGTAAATATAACGGTGAAGTAGAAAATAACATACATTTTTTAAAATAAAATAATTTTTATTTTACTAATTAACATATTATATAAAAAGAACCTGAAGAGTTAAAAAATCAAACATCTATTTAAATATTGTTTCCCACATAAACAATAATTTGCAGTAATTTTTAAATATAAGCACTAATTTTGATTAAACTTATGAAATTAATTTATTCCTAACAGTTGGTATAAAATTGAAACATAATCATCGTACTGGGCTAAATAAAAATTACCAGCTACAGGTGTTCCTAAACTGTACTTCAATGAAAATTTATTGATTGGAAATTTGCCACGATGTTCGACAGGTATAAATAAAAAGAATAAAAACTAAAATTAATTAAATTATTAAAACTTTTACTGATTAAGTATAAAAATACACGCTATAAGCTTATTGAATGGTTTGAGCATACAATATATTATATATAGGTAGACAAAATATCTAATCAATTATATCAATGTTTGATAATTGATATTATTATACGTAAATTACCTATTGCTTAAACGCGGCTCATCGAATGACAGTTTTGACGGTTGTTGGTATACTAAAAACCCGCAACGATTTAGCTCTGCTAAATCATTAATTGTTATTTTTATCTTTAAATTGAAACAATTATTTGATAGTTATGAGCAGTGCTAGATTTGGGGGATGGAGTCCACTTTCTTTTTCTTTTTGAGCGTCCCCTTCTATTTTTTTGAAACGTAACGCTAGTAACCCAACACTTACTAGCGCATTAGGGAATTGTCAGTTTTTTTGATGTGAAATATAATAGGTAGTCAATAGCCATAATGTGTTTACTTTGTACTTATGGAAAAATAAAACAATTGTTATTAACCCGTATAACTCCATACTATATGTAATAAACCCTTATTTAATGCATATTTTATTAATAATTGACCAATTTTATAATTTTTTTTTTTATAATTGTAGAACAAATTTAATATTGTTTTTGTGTAATTATTGTTGGAAGGTGGTGCGGGAGCAAAACCCCCATGAATCATGATAATGTGAGGCTTAATTTTGTATTTTTGTGTGGTACGCTCTTTCATCTAACATCCGCAAAGTCCTGCTAATTTTTTCCAAATCAAGCGCTGGTTATAACTTTATAAGCCCATATATAAGCTTTGATCAATCATTTTAATAGGTACCGGTTTTCGGTGGAGGTCTAGAACCTTTTGATCCGGAAAGCGTTTCTCCCAGGTATGTTTCCTATACCTACCATCCAATGATTCCATTTCCTTTTTGTAGGTTCAGCATGACTAGGAGTAATAGGTTCTGAGTAGGTTAAACAATAAAAAAACAATATGTATAGGTACATGTTAAAATTAAATTATCTTGTACTTAATACCGGTCAAACATATGAAGTAAGATCAGCATTTCAACTAACTGTAGTAGGATCAGCATTTCAACTAACTGTAGGCTGGTCTTTCACCTTAGTGGGTGTAAGTTCATTTCCAAGTAAAGCTTCTGCGCCACTCGTATAATTTAGGTACCTATGATACATTTATATTTTTGTTTCTGATTTAAGATAATTTGGTAGGTATATATTTTTTTTTAATTTACTTGTATAATTTCTTTTGGAGCAACGGGAATGACATCAGGTACCACTTGTTGATTTTTCAGTTTGATCGACATTGCTGTTATGTGCAGACACGCCGATCGTGACGCATATCTGTAGAGTTAATTTTTTTTTTTTTTTATTAACCGAATTAATTTTAGAAAGAAAAATGTGGATATAAAAATAATTTCTTACTAAAAACAAGCTAAAGCACCACGTCATATCTCTTAAAAGTTAAGAAACGAACGGTAAGGCTGAAGAGTGAACTAGTTGGTCATCAAAGAATTAATGAATTCAAAACGTTCACTCAGTTCTTAAATATAGAGAAGTGAAAAATGATCATAAAAGTATACACTACTAAGTACTAATACATAGTTAATATTGGGGTACCTGTTGTACATTAGTGCCTACTTAGCTACTACTTTGGTTTTTGAAGGTCATAATAATTTTACAATAATACAGGTACCTACTTCAAACAGTTCAAACAATCATTTATTTGCATGGAACATATTTTAAAGTTATTAATTATTATCACAATATAGGTAACATACCTACTAATATACTACTGCATTTCAACATAATGGCCAGTGCCATATGATTAAATAATTATGTTATTATCTATCATAATTTATAGTATGACAGTTAAAAATAGAATGGTGAAATAAGTTTAAAACAAATATTGGTGCACATCATTAAACGTAACTATAAAGTCAAAAACATCTTAAATATATGTTTTCTATTTAAGTGCAATTTTATAACAGGTAATTGCAGATAGTGTGGCAAGTAATATAAATAATATAATGATATAGATAATTAAATATCCTTATAAATTATGCAGGTATTATTGTATTATGTATTGTAAATTATCTAGTTTACAGTTTTATTATAGGTAAGAACCTATATCGCCACATTAAAACTTCTAAAAAAAAAAAACTATAACTATTCAAGAAATATACATTATACAAATTAAAATACTTAGATATTCCCACCATTTTGTACAGTCCTAGTTTAATTTTGAGATAACATTTTTAAAGAATAAATGAGATATATTATATTACCAGAATATTAGGTAGTAGGTATTTTTACCAAACTTTAACTTTAATACATTTTGAAAATATTATTTTTTTGGATTCCTTGTTCTTATATACATTAATTATAGCCTTATAGCTATAAGTATACCATACACAATGATGTTTTTTTTGTCCGTTGTCATCATTTGTAACAGTAAAATGCTTTGTTAGCATGAAACTGGCTTCAATGGCAGAGTGACGAGTGGGGATGAGCAGTATCAGCGTGTTCTCTCGGTAGAAAAAGTATAGAAAAACTCAAAAGATCAATCACAAATCTATTGTAGTTGGCCACTTCTGTTCTTAAAGAATATTCATTGATATTCATGACAAAAGCCGAACCTAAGTAAACTGCTATTTTTGTAACACAAACAATTTTTGATCGATTATTTTATATTGCAAGTAAAATTATATAAAATATAAGATAACTTCCATAAATGCAAAATTGATAGCTGTGCTTTACTAAGTAAAATAAATAATATAAAAGGTATGTTGGGTTAGGTTAACTACCCATATCAACATTTATCCCAGGAGATTATATAATTTACTTAAAATAAATATGCAATTACAAAAAAAATTATCAATGAAAAATATCTATTTTATTTTAACATTTATTACCACATCCAAAATTGATTCTAAACTTAGAAATATGCTTTGTTACACACAATTATTGCTTCAACATTTAGTCATATTTGATTAAGCATTTGAGCAGTGACCATTGAGTATATTTATTTGTATAATGACTTAAGCACCAAGCTGCTTGTATAGCACTGGCACATAATCATCATATTGAGCTTGATAGAAGTTTCCAGCCACCGGATTTCCCAAATTGTATTTAAGCGCAAATTTAGCAATAGAAAATTTTTCACGCTTTTCTGCTGACCTAATTTTTTTTGAATATTTAAGAATTAACAAGATTTATTACATTATGTATTGCTGTATTATATATGTATGTATATATTATACACTACCTGTTAGTTAAACGGGGTTCATCAAAATTCAACTTTGAAGGTTGTTTGTAAGCTAAGAATACATATCGGTGAAGTCCTATAGCAAAAATAGTATAATTATTATATTTAAAAGTAAAATGTATTTTTTTTTACTTTACCAGTCTCAGGTGGAGGTCCGGAGCCTACATACTCAGAAAGTGTTTCACCCTTCGTAATATCTTTACCAGGAATATTTCCAACTAGCCAATGATGCCATTCTCTATACGTGTGCTCCTTACGACTTGGAGCATCAGGATCTAACACAACAATAAGTATCAATTAAAATATATTTAAATATTTGATACAATACATATATTATATCATCCATGTAATATTATACCTTACATAGTGTGTACATTTATATACAAATAAATGTACTTTATTTGTACAACCACCAAATATACTGTGTTTATATGATATAATAAGTGGATAATATTATGTAGTTATCATTTATGCATTACCTGTCATACAAAGAGTATACAAAGCATTTGGATCAGCAGGCCAGTTTACTGATGGTTGATCTTTTACTTGAGTAGGTGTGAGCTCATTACCCATGTCAACACTTACTCCACTTGGGTATGACACCTATGATATTAAAAATATTAAAATATATATATTAATATAATGTTGAATGAGATAGGTATGTGTTTATGAATTACTTGAAAAGTGTTACAGACATTATTATTTAAGAAACAATACATGGTTCACTTTATTTAACTTATTTTATTATATATACCAACATCACATAAACTTAACAAGCCCAACACATTGACAATCATGTATAGAAATAAATTGGAGTAAAGTTGAGAACATATATTGTCTCTATCTTACAAAATCATAAACTAGCAAATTGTTTGAACATTTTAAAACTTTAATAACTCACTTTGAAATTAAAATATAAAAAAATTTATACTTCTAAATTTGATAATAGGGCAATTCACCCTGATATTAGATATTACTGGGGACGAAGTGGCCGAGTGGATAACACGTCGGTTGCAACGCGCACCGTTGCCAGTTCAAATAGCGGTCATGGGCGACACTTCTCTCCGAGCAGTCTCGGTATCTGGAGAGAGAGGCCACCATCCCCCACCCGGGCATGGCAGAAACCTACAGGTGCCCACTAGAAATTCTGCCAAACAAACACACACCTGTTCCATAACTCCACAGTCCCAAAACCCTGCAGTACCACAACCTACAGCTAATGGCCTCAGTTGCCAAAGCTTAAAACAAAAAAAAACAAATTAGATATTACAGATGTAAATTGATTATTCAGAACATACAATTTAGTATTTACTATATTATGCGTTTTTAAGGCAGAGACAACACATGCAGCTGTACCATATTCTTAAGTGTTCAAAATATTTCAGTATTTTTTAGTTTTTTTAAATTATTCAGTCTTAAATTTTTAATTTAATTTATAAGACAAGGTGATGTGTAGGTGTTTGCTTAAACTTAGAGAAATCATATTTGAATATGAGATAATTTTGAACTACTATATAAGCGCAGTGTTTATCCCTGGTGATCATATGAAATAAAATGAGTCAAGTTGTGTCCTCGCTATAATCTAACCTATCATAAGCATACACTATTAATTCTTGAAATCAAGTTAAATGGGTGTCATACTTTTCTAAGCATAAATCACATATAATTTACAATTATTTGCTAATTTGTAATATACGGTTTTTCCATTGTGTTATTAAATAGATTGCGAGTCTATTATATAGACTCTATATTATAGAGTAATTAAAATATTGGCTCTAAATAGTCGAAACTTTTTAAGTTGTTCTCGTGATTATTAATCCATGATAGTGTTTTACTGGAAGCTAATAAAAAAAACAAATAGTCAAAATGAATTATAAACCTTTGACGAATGCTAATATGACATTGTATATTCCTTCCTCATTATATATAATAATGTATAGACTATCATTTATTAGACCACATAGCATTATTAAAATTAATTGTTAAGCCAATTAACAAGTTACTGAAAATTGTTAACATATCACATATAATATTGATTAATATGTAATTTGCTATTAATTATTATAGATACATTATTGAACAGGCATATTTTCAATTATGTCTACAGTTGTTAAAATTTCTCTCAAGATTCCTTAAATTGACTAAGGCATAACTAACTTAAAACTAGATAAATAGACAGTTAAATTTTGTTGTTTAGATTTTTTTTTTTTTGATTGTGAGAAATTAAAATAAATTAACCAAAAACTGATGGAACTGTTGTAAGTGTAAAACCAAGTGCATAACATATTCACGATTAACCTATATCTTAATATTGTAAGACTTTTATTAAACTATTAAGTTTGAAAAACACTCTAAAAACCATTAGAGGTCAGTGCACTTAAAGTTTTCTCAAATTGACCCATGCAAGGTACATGGGTAGGTATCAAATTTAATTTGTGATCAGCAGAATCAATCATATTATGCTGTAAGGTTTTATGTATATTAGAGTAAGTTGACCTATTATCAAACTCATAGTTAAGCCATGTAGAAGGGTGCTTCTGAGATGAATAAATATTTTCAAATTGTAAAACGTTGTCCAATAATTAGGACTTGTGTGAAAATTTAAATATTGTAAAAGCTACATACAAACCATAGACAAGTGTAAAATTATAACATGTTTGATAATATGACACTTACATCAAATTCTATAGATTATCTACAGTATTTGCTAATATTAAAATATTCAACAACACAAGATTGGTAATTGCTGAACCCTTAGACATAATAGATACATGTATATTATAAAATTATTTTATGTCTATAGCTGTACTCAAATTTGTCATGTTGTGTGCGAACCACAGAGAGCAAACAAATACCTAATGGCTAATACACAGGAAGTGTGGTGACAGTCTAAAGTTTCGACTGTAAAAATAAACATAAAATTTTACTTCAATTTTGTCGCTGGGCGCAACGGCAATCACATCGGGAACGACTTCGTGTTCAAGCATGGCGGCGGCGGCGGACGATTTGGTCGAGTAAGATGAACGAGCAGTGAACGCAGTAGTTAACTGTGGAACGATCAAATGTTTAGCTCGAGCAGTCAGGTGACAGTAATTAATGGCGGATTTTATCAACAATGCCATCTATAGACTATAAATTATAATGCGTGTGCCGGTAAATTAAAATAGATTAAAATTGTTAACGTCGATACTTACAAGTGTAAAATATCACTGAATCAGTGTATCCTCACTGGTAACTGGTATCACGTATGGTATATTTCACAATTTGTGAATTCAAATAATTTCAGAATTGTGTGAATATTATTGTTCTATGATATTATTACGAGACAACTTCTCACTGCAGTGCAGTTTGTCCACAGTCCGTAGTGATACCAGGTAAGTGAATAGTGATAAGTGATAACTCATGGGTCATTCACTCGTTCGTGAACGAGTTGGAGGGGGGATGAGTAGCAACGAGTCCAGCTGAATCACAGGACAATAATGTTTGAACTTTGAATGCCTAATTGTTCCTTTTCAGTGTGATCGTTACTTTGGTCCAATCAAATTGTAGAACGTGGAACGACATTTTATTGTTTCACACATCGGGGTCGGGGTGTACGACAAGGCGACAAATATCGTTTATTTGAGTAATTGACATTTCCCGAGATTTCGTACCACATTTGACAGATTTAAAAACAGTAAAACACCGCTTTCTTTCCAATAGTTAGGCCTATATTATTATGTTATATACAAAAATTATTTACTACTTATTAACTTATCTACCTATGATTATAAAATATTTCCGTATGACGCGAATAGTTCCTTATACCGACCTCTGACCTAGCAAACGATAGCTTATCGCATTTACCCGTTTCGTATTCACTGGAATTATAATAATTGTATAAAAGCATTAAATGCACGAACTACTAAGGTATACACAGACTTCTAATATGGTAACTTGGTATTATAGAAGTCTGATATACTGTGAAGCACGGCTATAGATATAAATATAGTACAATGTATAATATAAAATAAAAATACAGTAAAAAAAGCCCTGGAAAAATTACCTTTAAAGAGTTTATTATTCTTACATGATATTATTTAATATCATAATATAGTCTATAGATGTAATTTTTTTTTATTTATAATTAATTAATTAATAATACCTAAATATAGAGTCTATGATAAATTAATTGCAATTATTATACCTTCCATTTTCCAACCTAACTTAGGTAGGTACTATATTTTTGGCTGCAATACGATTGCACGCGTTCCTATCAGCGGCACCTTTTTAGGCGTACGATTTCTCCCGCTAAATTATTATTACTTCTAAGCAACGTTGTCGAATATACAGATTATATTCTATTTTTCCATTTTTATTTCTATTTCATATGATGATGATTTTCCAAAGTTTTAAAAATACATTTACATAAATATTTTATATGATTAATAAAAAACAATGTTTATTGTACTTACCTATTATTATTAAATAATAAATGATATAAAAGTACCAAAATTAATAATTATATTAAACCTATTTAAAGTTGGACAACATAAAATGTTTAAAATTGTTACGTAAATAATATCAATAACTCTAATAATTCATATAATACCTATTCGATTAATATTTTGAGCAATAGTAAAACTAAAAGCTAATAAAAAAAAAAATGAATAAATAATATTTTTTTAGCATTCCTAGTCATTGAATGTTGAGGTGTTTCTTACTATAAAAGGCTTTTTTGGGGGGGAATTTTTGTTATTAGATTCTCAAAATAGATATTTCCTAAGTATTATTGAATTGCTGATATTTCAATAAAAATATATTTTTGTACGAGATTTTAACGATCAACACGTAATCTGACCGCTGCAGCAGTAGTTCGGACACAACATATTTTTAGTTTTATTGTTAATTTTGAAAGTAGGTTTTTGTTATATATATACTATATAGGTCGTGCCATTCTGGGAATTTCGTAAGCACATAATTGTTTATATAATTAATGCAAATATTTAATTATAAGTGTATCAATTGTGTAATGGATATTGTGGTGTACCCATATACACAATATATAAGTAAATAATATGACATATGATTATATTCAATATATCAACCACGATGTAGGTAAATCTTACCTACATCGTAATACCAACTTATTCCCAGTTAATTATAATAATATTATTTACCTACTTATCAATTGTAATGATAATCTTTTAGGGAGGTATTTTTAAATTACTCGCCTATATATAATTATATACACCTAAAAGTAAAATTATAGCCATGGGTATACTAACTAAAACCTAATAAATAATAACCTACATCGTTTTAAACATAATAATTATGTCTCTGTATAGGTAATGACTAATGCCTCAATTATGTTATTCATATACTTCTAAAAAGCTTTTATGTCTCAATTTGTATCATATCGACAATGATCTTGAGCTTTAAAAAACGGGGGTATCATCTTTTAAGAAAAAACTTTGGTGTCTCAAATATATGAATATATATACATGTGTTTAACACATTTATGCAATATTTGATATTTATTTCAATACATATAATTTAAAATATAATATATATCAACTGACCACTTTCATATTCTATACCTATTATTACCTATTCTGTAATTAATTATATGCAGCTTCTATTTTCAACTATGGTTTTTTCAATGCTTGAAAAACAGCTTCCACATTTCCGATCTGGGTTTCTCAAAATATATAATAACTTAAAGGTATCGTCATTCATAAGAAATCTAATGTATAGGTACTTTTTATAGTTTCAATTTTACTTAGCTTTTGACTTCCGACAACTGCTATATTGTTGTATTACCTCTGTAATCTGTACTATATTATAAACGACTCACATAGTTGCATAATCAGATAATCTGACCACCAACTACACACATACTAAAAAGTAAAAATGTGTAACTGCCACCGGGTATATAAATTTTTTTTTATTAATACAGAACCCTCGATAACATTAGCCAATTGGGTTTACAAAATATAATTTAATCGATTACATAACATAATGATATGTACTTATTCTAAATTATTTTAAATTTTAGTTTGAAGATTAGCGTCTCTAGTGAATTGGATCATGTCTAAATATATTGTTAATTATTTAGCCATGAATTGGATGTTGTTGTTTATGGATTGAGGACGATTGTGATTTGTGGAGTATTTTGGCTATAGTGACTCTGGCACGTTGTGACTTGTTTTGATATACCACAAGTAATAAGTATATAATATATCTAAATTTTGGATATTCCTTAAAAAATGTATTGTAACAGAATCAGTAAATTTTAGCACATCTTAACCGCAATTTCTCGGATTCTACAAATGATATTGTCATTATCATTATTCATTACCTACTCAATAATTATTACGATTTATATTACGATGTACTAAAATATAGTTAATCAATGTTGAAGGCCGTAAAAGGTAAAAAAACAGACTAAATTCATACATGAATAAATTCAATAATAAGAATGTAATAGGTGTTAGGATCCTAAATACTAATCTACAATATAAATATGTATATATAGCGTAGCCAGATCTTTCATGATATATAGTGTATGCAAGAAGCCCGTGTACAAACAAATCAATGTGTTTAAGGTTTAACATCTATTTGTTTAATACAATCATACAAGTCTAATGATTAGAATTTCTATTGAGATTCACACTCATAATAATCATAACTATAAGAAAACACTTGTTTATACCCATAGACATTTTTTATTTCTATTAATTAATTATTTATCAGTAAATAACTTTGTTAAAAACAAGTTACTTGGGTATAATATATTTTACATAACATAATAATCTAATACACGTGTTACACAAATCTGTGAAAGTCAATGATAATATAATATAATTATTATTATATTAGGATCATTAATTTAATTTTAATTTTTTGTATTAATGCTTCCAAGTATTCTCCCGCGGCCGACAGATAACTAGGTATGAGCTATCAATTATCATTATTAACTTAATGATGAGTAATTATTAAACTACAGTTATTATTATTACACAATTATTAAACTACCATTCTAAAGGCACGTCCGACGGAGCAGCTTTTGTGAGTGTGACGTAAATTATTATTTAAATCATTATAATCGAAAAACAAATGCCACATGGTCTGGACACGTATTTTCCGGTACAGGGCCGAAGAAGGCCGCGCTGTACCTACTGGCTGTGCTGTACGCTAAAAGGCTGCTACGTCTGGACGAGCCTTAACATTTCCAAAGCCAACCCAACGGTAAACGGAAAAACAATTTCAAAATTTTACCATTTACATAATATTAAAACATATTTCAAGTAACTTGTCATCGATTGCCATAAATGATGTGGTAGGCCAATAGAACATAGAAAAAATAGATGTACCAAAATACATCCTGTCACCTCCTCGATAAGCGACACTTGGCACCCTAATAACATCTATGCTTTTATCCCGATGAAGATTATAAGATAAAGATATTTTTTCTACATTATGGGCTGTATATTATCATGCAAAATTATTGAAATGTAAAATTTTAGTAAAATTAAAATTTACCATATGAATAATATGATATTAAATTGACTTTTTAGTACAATTTATGTCCATACAAATATAAACTCAAATAAAAAAACAACACTAATTTTGCGTTTGAACTTAAAATTCATACATTTTACAATTATTAATAATATTATTTATATGTATTATTGTATTATTAATATGAATTAGGTACCTATAACAGTTAGAGTAGGTAACTTATTAATTTATTATAACGGTTATCTAATAAAGATAACCTAACTTTAAAAAAAGACACTTACTAATACTAAGCACCTAGTATGTAATATATTGTATAATAATATAATATTCCTACGTATATAAGAAATACGCTACAAAGCAGTAGGTAGGACCCATAATGACATAAATATATTTAATATTATAATCTTATGTAAGGTAACCTGATGTTGACATGTTGTGCAAACCTAGCATGCTCATTGAAGCCCATTATTCAGTTTAAATAAATAAAAATAATACAGATGGAAAAACAAGACTGCAAATTTAAATTATTTTATATGACCAAAAATAATATTTTAACGAGGAACTTAATTAACTGAAATGTCTATAGAGTACTTATGTACCATTAATTTAAAATGTAAAATAATACCTATGTAGTATGTATGATGTAAATTATACGTAAATACAATGGTTCAGTAGAAAAAACATACATTTTATAAAATAAAATAAAATAATTTTTATTTTATTAATTTAAATATTATATAAAATACTGTAGACTTAAAAACTCAAATAGCCGCTTAAATATTGTTTTCTACATAAACATTTTATTTTTTTGCAATCTTTTAAATAATATACCTAGGGTTACTAATTTTGATTTAATTTTGAGATGAGATTAATTGACTCCAAATTGTTGGTATAGAATTGGAACATAATCATCGTACTGAGCTTGATAAAAATTACCAGCCACAGGTGTTCCTAAATTGTACTTCTGTGCAAATTTATGGATTGAAAATTTATCACGATTTTCGGCAGATCTATACAAATAGAATAAGGAATATATTATATGAAATTATTAAAACTTTCAAGTTTTAATGGTTAAGTATAAAAATACAAGTTAGGTTTATTAATTAGTTTTAGCATAATATATCTAGTCAATTATATTAATGATTAATATTATATTACTTATTGCTTATACGTGGCTCATCAAATGACAGTTTGGACGGTTGTTTGTATACTAAAAACACGTATCGATGTAGCCCTGGAAAATCATAATATTTTTATTTTTATCTTTCAATCGTACCTAGAGGCTATTTCTATGTGTGCACTTATATCGACAATACATTTTGTGCATTACAACATCTCAACATTTCCATACGAAAAATAAAAATGTGCATCCGTCACCTAAGATGTAACAAGGCGAGCTGCCAAGGTTCCATGTGTGCTATACAGTAAAAATTTTAATTTTTGAAAAGAATAAATATGGATAATTTGTACATTGGATGCATTGCATAATATAATAATATAATAAAGTACTTTTAAAACACTAAACAAAATATACCAACGAAAATATTATGATTTTTTTTTACTGTGGCTTAGTCTAGTTATTTAAATACGTATTATAATACGTATTGTTTGTCAATGCTGATTTAATAATGAATAAATTAATTTATTATTTACTATTTTAATTATATAATCAAGTAAACTAACATAAACAGTAATAATAACAGAAGAAAAATAAAAAGTAAAAAATGATTATGAATTTATTTAAATAAAAACTAAAATATGTTTATAAGTTATAGACTATAGCATATTTTTATCAGCTAAACCACAATGCACAGTGCTGATGTAAAACGACTGATTTCATAATTGTGTGCTATAGGCTTATAGCTACAGCCTAAAGCATTATAAAAACGGGTAAATAAAGATCTAGACTCCAGATAATATTAAAGACAACTCTTTGCATTAAAGTAAAGTGTTAACATGCCAACTTTAAGTGACTGATACACCTCGATAAGCCAATAAAAAAGCAAAGATGAAAAATAGTCACTATAATTGTATCTATGAACATTATAGAATCATCTAATAAATCATCCTCTAATATTCATGAATGAACCTAACAGTTATTTGATACTTAGAAACTTAGCAGTGATAGACCTAAATACAATAGTATCATTAATCATAATATAGTACCGGTTTTTGGTGGAGGTCCAGAACCTACGTATCCAGAAAGTGTTTCTCCTAGGCTCACATTTCCACCGGGTATGTTTCCTACCAACCAATGATGCCATTCTCTGTTTTTAGGTTCAGCACGACTCGGAGCATCAGGATCTGAATACAACAATAAATATTATATTAATTATAAATACCCAGGTATGATGTTATGTTAAAATAAAATTATCCTACACATACCTGTCAAACACAGCGTATAAAATGAATTAGGGTCAGCATTCCAACTAACTGACGGCTGGTCTTTTACCTTAGTGGGTGTAAGTTCATTTCCAAGTAATGCTTTTTCGCCATTCGGATAATTTACCTATAATACGATTTTTATTTTTCTGATAAAATAATTATCTTAATAGAAAGGTATGTTTTTTTCATTTACATGTATAATTTCTTTTGGAGCAACAGGAATTACATCAGGTACCACTCGTTGATTTTCCATGGCTTGATCGACTTTTATTAATTTGTGTGCAGATACGCCTATCGCGAAACATATCTGTAAAATGAAGATTGTAAATTTTTTTTTAATAAACCGAAAGTATCTTGGACAGAAAAATGTTTAAGTATATTAAAATAATTTCTTACTAAACACAAGCTAAATCGCCACATATTTGTCTTGAAAATTAAGGAACTAATAGCCAATAAGTAAAGTTGATATCGAAGTTGTCTGAACTGATTAGTGAACACACAGTGAATGAACTCAAAACGTTCTCTCGGAGTTATATATAGGGAATAATCATAATCATATTATTTACTGCAACTACTACTACTACTACTACTACTTCTACTATAGATACTTTTACTTAGGTCTCGGAAGGTCATTATAATTTTACAATACACTTCAAAGGATCATTTACAAAGAACATAATATTAAATAGTTATTACTAATTATGTATCATAGAATAAACTAATTTTATACAGAAGTAATTACTGGAAACAATAAGATTGAGTTAATGCTATTTTTCTTTAAATAATTCGGAATAATAAGGTTTAATAGAATAATTTAACAGAAGAATAAAATGGAGAATGTTTAAACAAAATATTGGTGCATATCATATAGGTAATGCATTGTAATAAATATAAAGAAATAAATATTACATAGGTACCTATTACTTATACTCGTTTTACATTTACAATTTTATGATAATAATTGCAGGTATTATTGTATTATGTACTTATTATAATTTATATCCTGGATAGCATAAAAACCTCCAAAATTTCAAGATTTTCTAAATTTAGTTAATTTCAAAGAAGGAATGATCTTATTATAGATTACGGTTTTTGTGAAACTTTATGATCATATTTAAAGGTTAAAAAAAACCATCACAAATCCTTGTTAATAAAAAATAAAAATCATACGTCAATATATTGGTTCATGACTTATTCGCACCATTTTTTCAGCTCTAGAATGATTTTAAGATTATATTTTTAGAAAAAAAAATAAAATATGTATGAGTAGAGTATTAAATAGCATATCGGCGAACAAGCTTATACTTTAATAGGTTTTTGAATACGATTAAAAAAAAAACAATGTAATTACATGATATAAAAAAAATGTACTTTTATGTTTTAACATACGAAACAATCCACCTACAAAACAATATTTTTAAACAAACACCTCTCGAATGGCTGACGTCCGTTATATACAGGTTACACTGTATTACGTATCGAATTGTTTACTATATAATTCAAGTTTAAATCATGTTGAGCTCCGAAACTGTTAAAAAATATTATTGTTTTTTTTTTTTATAAAATATTAGTTATACGTTAAAATATTTGTTTTTTTGACATTTTATATACAAATTCATAATGCATAAATAATATAAATAGGTACGTACTTAAAAACTGCAAATTTCCTATTACTATCTTTTATTATTATCATAATTTCCATTTTTATCGAAATTAAACGTATACATAATGGTTACTTATATATTTGTATTACAAGGTACGACTTACACAGTCTTCATTAATAATATTTTTCGGTCGACCATGAAGGTTTTTTTAATTTATATATTATATCATGCTTAGTACCTACTAATTGTACTATAATAACTAGGTATACAACGTTTTAAAATACTCACTATATAATAGCTATCGTTTGTAGAAAAAAAATATTCGTTATAATATATGTTAATCTGTTTCATATGTAGATTGTAGGTATACCTATGTTATAAGTATGTTCCTATTTCTATATGCCTACTTTGATGTAAAAAATTGTAACACTAAGTCGCTGTAACCACTAACAATATAATATACCTATACTTAACATATTACTGACTACTGTACATTTTTCACTTTTGAGAAAACACAAGTAGCGAACATCCTAATTACCTACCTGAATGTAGTGAAGATTATTTTTTGTCAAAACTTATACATATTTAGTTTTTTACTTTTTATTTTACGGACTATATGAAAGTAATTATGCTTTGTTGTTTTAACTTTATGTTTTACAGTTCTTTATTGTAATGTAAACTATAATAGTCTACAAACTCTGTTATAATAGAACTCCATGTATAACTAACCAGGCAATGAAGCTTATAGGTATATAATACATTTAAAGGAGACTTGACTTACTCCACAAATCATTCTAAACCTGTGACAACTTTTGTTCAATATTTGTTTCCGAGGCGTGACTAACATACTATAATCAACATCAGGTTCTTATTGCTTTTGACTAATTAGTGTTATCAGACATTTTTGTTTAAATATTATATTATTTATGACATCATAAATCATGCTTACTTCGCCTAATAATATGTAATAAATCATATTATTATAATTAATAGATATACTTATACCTAACCCTGATTTCTATATAATTTTGTCTTAAAATACCAACTACTAATTCATATAGTCATATGTATAAAAATAAAGAATACAGAATGTATAGGTAGGACAGGTAGGTACATGGCTGTGCATAATGTTTATATTTATTCCTTAAAAATTCAATAGATGCTATTATTAGCAGTGCAGTATATAAAATTATGACGTGTCGAAGGGTGCAATTAGCTGGTACCTAGTTGGCAAGGTGAGACTTTAAGGTTTTAAACCCCTTAATAAATCGGGAGTAAAACACCATTAATAACAAATTAAGGCATTTATATGTTATATTATACTATAAATCTATTACTATATAAGGATCCGCCTACATAATAGACATAAATATATTATCAACAACACCTGTGACTTACAGACATTCTCCATATTTTTTTTTTGTATTATCACGGAGTCTCACTGGCCACCTAATTAAATTGAATACCTCTGCAAATACCATTAATATTTTATATTGATTCAAATGTATATTATGCAGTAAAAAAGTTATAGGTATTTAGATTGAAGTTATTATCAAGATATATATAATATATCTATTGTGGTTTTAAGAAAATTTTTTAATTGCATGAAATTAGTAATAATGTAAAGGGTTTTCAATTTGCATTGCCTGATGAGAGTTTAGACTGAAAGATGTGGTATATACTTACCTTGAATTGTTCGGGACTGATGACCTTTTACATTTTTCGGAGGGGGCCCCAATTTATAGATTTAATATAGAGTCACCAAGTGTCTATAGTAGCAACACAGGACGGCATCTCAACAAACAAAAAAATAAAAAATGTCGATGGAGAGTAAACCTAAAAAACAATCCTATTCAATATTTATTTTATAAATTCCTTGTAATTTTTGCAAGCCCTTTTTTACTTATAACTAAAACGTTATCCTCTATAAAATAATATAATAAATAGTGTATAAAATTTTAACTATATATTATACCAATACCTAAAATATCTAATATAGGTACTATTTAATATGGTTTCAATATGATCATTATTCATTAGGTACAGCCGGTGTAAGCAGTATTATTAGGTAGGTATGTAAATTATAGATGCTTAAAAATATAATTATCAAAAATAAAAACGAATTGACTTAATTAAAAGTTGAGCACTCTAATCAACGACACAACATTTATTTATATATTTGTATAATTACAATATGTCTAATAAAATATAAAATAACTTTGTTCGAATCACGGTTATCTGGATATTATATTGATAGATAACCGTTGGCTGTTGCATGTTTGAACTTTAACTATACACATCAGTACATCACTATTTAGTATTCACTAAGCCATTAAACAGACTTTATATTAAACTAATTATTATGAAATTGGTAGGTAAATATAGCCGTGCACCTACCCAGGTATTATTAATTATTATGATTAACTGCAGTCAATAAAAATATCAAGTTTTTTTTTCCGTTATAAATTCCCTATAATATTATTTTAGCATAAAATATTCAAATATAAAACACTGTTAACGAGTAGGTAGGTTCATTAAATAATGTAAAAAGTTGCTGACATAATGTTTATTTATGATCTCATTAATTATAATATCGCCAGTCCTCAATTATTATTTCAAGTTGGATTTTAGATAATTAGACTCCAGTTCAATAAAGGAAATCTTAATTATTATTATTTGTAGATACCTACCTATAAATACCTACAAAGCTACTTGAAAGCAGTTGAAACTTTTTTTCCTGAGAGCATTTTATTTAGCTAATTATGTGTGTATGTTGCGTGTGCTAATTTATTTAGATATTTCTCGAGATCCATTTAAGCATAGTTTTTTCAATACGTTATTTTTTTACTCTTTAGTCATGTGCTATGTATTTGTTTTTTCTATAATTGTTTTTGTGGTTATATTGTTTATCAAATGGCATACGCCCGTTTGTGAAATATAAATAAATAGATCCTTTGCAAAAAAAATTAAAAATGTTGAGAGCTTATAAGACTAAAGAGTGCCTATAGTACCTGATAATACTTTGGTACCTACCCCTATAATAACTATTAATAAGGCCTGATGGACTGACTAAGCCACCAAGGTCCAAGACATATCTTAGTACTTATATGAGGTTTGATTGTACGAATGTATGATTGCTCGTACAAACTACAAAGTCTAAAATATAATATAAATTACCCTCCATCATTATTCATTATAATTATTACATAGTATTAAAATAATTAACATTGTAATAAACATTTATACGCCAGATGGACGGTGGCTCGATGGTCGGCGGGTCGTGAATAAATCAAATAACAGTGCATACAATTCCATTCCGTTCAGGAGCGATGGCAACACTGTAGTTTACATCGAATGTGTGATCTTTCCACTACCGCCAACAACTCGGTAATCGGTATATAACTTCAAACTTGGGGAACGTCTTCGCCAATGGCTTTGGACGCTTTGGTACCACCTCTCCCTCCACTCCCTTAGTCATCTCTCTGATCACTTCTTCGTTCTCGTCGCGGATAACTCGTGTGCGCCATAATTAATTTCGCTTTATTCGAAAATCCCAAACACTAATCCAAACTAACGATGGGCGTTGATGTAACATTCCTGGCCGAAGGAGACGGTAAGTCAACTCATGTCATGTGATGGCGTCGTTCGTTCGGCTGACGGCTGCTGCCAAGAGCGACCGGCCGGCGTCTGCGTCTCACACGTACTTCAAATTTCGCGTTTACGGTGTCTGAAGGCACAACCACGTCGTCACAGAGACATTGTTAACTGTTATTGAAAGACGCAGACGAGTGGCGGCCGTGTGTCTCCTGTCAGACAATCACACAGCTCTGTTACTGATCCGTTTGTTTTGTGTTTGTTTCACAGGTGCCACTTTCCCGAAACGAGGCCAGACCGTCACCGTGCACTACACAGGTAACGTTCAATCAAAATCGTGTAAACTACTTGTCTACTGGACACTGTCTAGTTTCTGGCAATGCCGCCCAAATTCTCACTAATATATGTTCGACTGCCCCTGTATCGCTGTATTTCTCCTAACCCCAGAAGTTGAGAAAATATATTGCATACATCTCGGATACTTTACACTGTGTTATGAAAAACCAAGAGACTTGCATGAGCACCTATCTGTTACTGATTCTGGTCCACTACACGAGATAAGCAATTGTGATCTCTTCATGCAATCATAGATTCAATAATATTTACATACCTAATTACCTTTTAGTTAGTAGCTTCTTAATCTTTAATCATAATTATCGATAATAGGTACATTAACTGATGGCAAGAAATTTGACTCGTCACGCGACCGTAATAAGCCTTTCAAGTTCAAGATTGGAAAAGGAGAAGTTATCAAAGGTTGGGATGAAGGAGTTGCCCAGGTAAGAAAATATCAAATTAAAAATTTTATATTTATATAAATATTTAAATAAAAAACTTCAAATATTTGAAGACGAATAATAACTAACCTCTTATCACCGTATTGATGACTTATCTAAATATGTTTATTCTCTTCTTTAAGAGTTGTTCTGGTGGTAAAAATCAACCTTACAAACATGCTTTGAAAGTACCATTTTCCTCAGCTCTTATTAATCCTAGAAACATGATTTTTCATCAAAATTAACTTGAAAAGTTCTTCTAGATGACTGCTAGAGATTTTCGATTTTTTGTTCAAACCTATTATATTGGCATTTTAAATTTTTAAAAATTGTTCAATTTTTAACAAAACATATAAAATAGATGATAAAAGATATCAAAAATCTGGTCTGCAATTATCTAGGAGAACTTTTCAAGATAATTTTGGTGTTATTTCTACGACTAACAAGAGCTGAGGAAAATGGGAAGTACAGAAAAATGTTATGGTAAGAAAAATTACAAATTTACAGCTGTCATGTGCTGCTCTGCTGATAGCAGCTGCAGCTTTCTAAATGGTGTTCATACCACCTCCATCCCTTGCACTACTGTAACCATACTTTAACAGCATCTCTTCAAAAGTAAAAAATTCCAAATGATTTTTCTAACCCAAAATTAATTGTAACTCTAAAAAAAATTATCGCAGGTACCTGAAATTCAAATTTTTACAACAAAGCCATAATGATATTCCTATTTTGTTGTAATTCAAAAACAAATAGTGTTAGATACTTGATATCTTTTCAAAACATTTTGACTTGTCAATAAAATGTTATTCATTGGGTTAAAATGCTTGAAAAATATTAAAACGGCATATGCACAATTTGTATAAGCATTAAAACCTCAATTTTTAACAAAATGTACAAATTATTTTGTGCTTAAAAATTTATAAAATGTTCAACTTTTATAGCTAAGGATTTGAAAATTTGAAACAAGATTCCGCGTAAGTAAATAATTCTGTAACCAATAAATCTAAAAATTATATATTTTTTATTAATAATAATTTTAAATCATTGAATCCAAATAAACCCACCCGTTACAGCAATCTATTTAGATACTTATTTTGCAGGTTAGGGTTACCACTTGCTCACGTTTCATTTGTTTTTTTTTTTTTAATATTACCTGTTAAAAATTATTTGCTTTGTCAAAAGTTGAAACACTTAAAATGTAATACAAAGTTCCTCACAAGTCACAAGTTTTTAGAAGTGTAATTAAAAAAAAAAGTTGAGCATAAATCCAAATCAAATAATAACATAGGTAGATCAAAATATTTCATATGAATTAGAACTATTTAAGACTTTATACTAATATGCTTATAGGAGACCACACAAAATGTATTTAATCGTAATGAAATTAATATTTTACATGTACCTATTTCAAAAAGTAATTGGGTTAGAACTATAAATCAAATTATGGTATATAATAGTTTGTATGCTTTATTTATTGGTTTATACTTTTAAGCAAACATGCGCTTTAATGAATAAATAGGTTGTGACTAATGACCTATAAGAGCCCTATAGCGCACTAGTATGTAGGAAATACAAGGGCAACAATTTATGCAGTGGTCAACTTCATTGGAACAATAACAGAACCATGTTCTGAACGACCGTAATAATAATTTACCTGTCCAGCGATTACTATGTGCAGGCCTCATCGTTTAGATGATGGGCATGGTTACGGCCTGCCGCGTACAACGCTAACTCTTGAGTGTTGCATATTTTTCACTTTTTACCAGAATGGCCTCCTAATTATTTTCTTTTTCTAGATGAGTATTGGTTCTCGTGCTAAGCTGACATGTTCTCCAGATTATGCCTATGGAGCCCTGGGACATCCTGGTGTCATTCCGCCAAATGCTACTTTGATTTTTGATGTTGAACTAATCAAATGCGAATAAAAATGTACACAACACATGCTATTATAACTACTTAAATACTAAAATAAAAAAATGCACCTTCAAGACTGACCAATATGTTTTTCCCATCAAACAACTTCATTGCTAAATACTATCATGAATTAGTGTTAGAAAAATATTGTCTTAACAGATTTACTATAGTTACTTGATTGCCAAAATTATCTATAAGTGGTTTCTTACTATCAAGAATTATCAATATGAATAATCTATTACCTTATAAAATATTGTTGCAATGCAATAAATATGTATCTTTTTTTCTTTTTTAATCAAACAGAATTATAATTGGAAACAACGAATAATAAACAAAATGTCTATAATTATATATATATTTTTGATGTTTTTTGTCCACAATTGTTGAAAATCAATCCAAAAATTAATGAGAACTCAACTACTTGGTCATTGTCAAGTAATTATAGAAATATGTTGTAACACATGTGTCGTATACGCCACGCAAAGGATTGACTTATACAACAGATATCTTTCGGTTTCCGATTCTCTAACCGTCAAACAAGTAAATTATCGATACCTGCTGTATGAACTATATTTAAATTATTCTTTTGGTGACCACGATGACGAGTACTGCACAAAAGATAATTAAACTAGGTCCAAACAGGTTTTACACAATACTACTCTAAAGTTACTTTACTCTCTAACAACTGACCACGATAACGAGTACTGGATGTTTGAGAGTGAGATGTCTTTAACCTAGGCAAAGTCTTACTCTTTCTCGACTGACCACGATAACGAGTACTGGATGTTTGAGAGTGAGATGTCTTTAACCTAGGCAAAGTCTTACTCTTTCTCGACTGACCACGATAACGAGTACTGGACGAGAAAGTAAGTATTACAGTGTCTTAATATCCTTTTCAAAAGTGTTTTCCACCGCCAACGCCTCTTTACACTCAAGATAAAATATTCTAAAATAGTCGTAAATAAAACAGTAACACTTGGTTAAAGGAATTAAATATAATATATTAAAGAATATCAAAAACAAATAATAAAAAGAAACGTCAAAAAAAACTGCTTGTTAGCCTCGACAATGAGTGATCCAAAAACTGAACAGCCCCGCTCCCGTCGCAGACGTAGCCTTATGTAGTGGTAGCAATTTTGCTGATTCGGCTTTATTCAATTTTGCATCATTGTTTTAATTTTTTATAATTTTGTTATGTATATGTACAACACATGGCACCATTAAACCATTAATATTAACCATATTATAAACCATTAGTATTAAATAGTGTTTTCAAGAAAAAAGGTTGAATGTATGTAATATAACATCTTCGGTTATCATAAAAATTAATTATGATTATGAGTTATTAAAAGTTGGATGTAAACATTTTTCAATAAAATTCAACATAACTCTGGAATTATAAAAAAAAAAGGTCCTGTAGTTTTTATTATGTATATTATATTTTAAAACAATGTAGTAGTTATTTTTTAATTTATTGAACAACACTAAAAAAAAGATAAAGTAGGGTTACCATATTAGGTCATCGTATACATAATATTATATAGTACTGAAACTTCTATTATTTATATTGACATTTTGTTTTTTTAGTAAAAGAAAAAAATTATTGTTTTTACAAAGTTTAGGATAATCGAGTAGATCACATGATTGAATGACGTATTTTAAAACTTGATGGATTGACGACAAAAATTATTGACGAATATGTTTATTGTGTTCACTGTTCCCACACTAAATATTTATTATCCTCATCGCCGATTAATTATTTTGTCAGTTACTCACTCCGATTTTGTAATATATCGCTTAATGATATAAGTAATACATAAAGTAAACGTAAAATATAGTATGTTAGTAGGTAACACATAAGCTTATTAAATTCACGATATTTACTGTTAAGTCATGAATCGATAATCATGTCATGATTTTACCTACATTTACATAGAGATAGAGTAACCTGGACAATAGAAATTACCAATGTTTAACACCTGTTTAATTTTCTAAAATATAACAATCGTTAAAAATTTAAAATATTGTACCTATTTAAGTAAGTTGGCAAGCATATAGTTGGTCGTATAACTATATATTACACGCCAATCCAACGCCTCTTTTCCTTAGAAAGCCTCACCGATCGTCGTCATTCAGCTAACCTGACATTTCTATCCAATCTTCTTTCATCTAAAATTGATAGTCCTGAATTACTATCCCGTGTCTCATTTAAGGTCCCCTCTCGCTGTACACGATCATCTGTTCCATAAGTTCCATTTCATATACCTTTCTCTTCCTCAAACTACTATCTTAACTCACCGATCATCCGTCTTATGCGCATTGCCAACACTGACCCTTCATTCTCTCTCTGATATTGAGCCACGTTTCCATAAACTATTAAAACTATTATTATTATACTATTATATTCATGTATGTATTAAAGGGTTCGTCCCGTATTGTAAAATAAAATAATGAATTCATAATTTTGATGAATTTTGTCATAATTATATCTTCAAATACCTACTCGTAAAAAACTATTGTGACTGTATTTACGATATTATTAATTGGTAGGTGTGTAATAGACTTATATTCAATTTTCAAGATTTTTACCCCCCAAAAGAATTGTATGCTACATAAATCAAAAAAAAGTTATAAATAGGAAGCACAATAAGTCAAAATATTTCGAAAATGATTTCATCTCTAGTAAATGCTATTATGAATTTTGGTGAAATTGTCAAGTCTACTGTTATTAGTGTTATTAATTTTTGAGTTACAACAATAACCAATATTGGTATTGAGTAAAAATACCCTTATTTCATCAATGTTTTTGTTATTTCCGGTTATTTTGAATTAACTCTTGACTCCCTATGTAGGTAGGTACCAACTAGATCCAATTTGTTACTAAAAACGGCAAAACGAATCTCAAGGTTGAAAATAGAAGAATTTTCACTGCTCCAAAAGGTATTGACAGACCCAAAATAAAAACAATACATTCAACGCTCTTCTCAGAATCTGATTTGAAAGGAATGTGTTAATTATTTATGGATTGAAAATTCAAATCGAAACTGAATACAATGAATTAACTACCATTTGCAAATGAATGAATTTGATAAATTATTATCGAGGATTATTATATGATAATACGTAGGTAGGTACCTATATAATAATTTTAGGAACTATATAATTGACGTAGGTAGCCAGGTAGGTAAATGTAATATATCAATTAAAAAATAATAGGTAGTTATTAGTTATATCATATAATTATAACGCGTATACGTATGTACGATGTATCATAAACAATTGTAGAGACTTAGCGGATCAATGAATGTACATAGGTATTGGGGTAAGTCTAATTGCCAAAACTGAATGACAGAATGGACGAATTACATGGTAGTGCCAACGATAAAATTCATTCCCCTTTCGTTCATTCACCAATTATCGCTTTCTGACGAGTTAATTACCGTAGGTCAGTCAACTTACTGGTTAAATAAATAAGTAGCTATCGTGGTAACCGCACTTGAAGATGGTAGTGTAATACTGTATATTATGTTGCCTATGTAATTATTAAAAGGGTAATATATGAAGTACCTAATATTATTATTAAGTAGTATTATTCAATTGTCGTACATTGTTGAAACTTTGAATTTCAATAATACATTAGTCCATAGTACCTATACTTGTCTGAGGTTGAGCCTTGATTTTTAAAACTTTTTAGTCGAGCCGTTTTACAATGGCATATACAATATGCGTAGAGCAGAGGTTCCCAAACTTTTACGACCACGGCAACCTTAAAAAATTATTTGTGTTTCGCAGAACCCTAATGTCTAATCCAACTCAACTACAATTTTTGTAAATTAAAAAAGGAAAATCAATTCCTTAAACTCTCAAGTCCAAATAATATTTTAGTGATACTGTTAATGACTTTTCATTATTAAACTTAGTTTAAAAAAAAATTTCAATCAAACATTTTTTAAACAACAAACATTAAATAAACATAATTTTCTCAATAATCTCATACATCTAACGGAACCCTTGACATTGTCCCACGGAACCCTAAGGTTCCGCGGAACACACTTTGGGAAACGCTGGCGTAGAGAATAAATTGTTTATATCCGTCATGGACATCTAACGTCTAAGGATTTTTAACAAAACGTCTATGGAAATAGAACATTTCTTTGAGGGCTGCGTAAAGTATATATGTTAGCGGCAATGTGTATAATATATTTAATATATAAAATGCCTAGGAATTCTATATAATACCTGGTGGTTTTTAAAAAAGTGTATAGTAAATTTTTTTTTACACACATTTCCTAAATATTTTGTATAATAACTAGACATTTCATAAAATGACAAACAACAAATTGGCAATCTGTAGAATAGTGATATAANATCTAGTTTTCATGTTTATAGCCTGTAATTCCAAATTACAATGTGCTTCTCTTCGCTGGTTTTCGGTTTTTTTAGTTCTGATACAAAGCTTACATAACAAGTCTTTCTCCACAGATATTGTGCCACTCGCATGGATTTTGCTATCACATGTTAGACATTGAACCATATTTTTATCGTTTTCTTCTGAGCACACCAAATAATTCCCCTTATTTATACTATTATCAACTGTACAAATATCTTCGTTAATCGTAATTATAATATCTTCGTCATTGCAGGTAGCAATATTTTCGTCGTCCTTAGAATTTACCGTATTTATATTATTATCAACTGTACAAATATCTTCGTCATTGGTAATATTATTTTCGTCATCTTGATTAGTTGGGCCAATGGAATATTGATCTACCAAATTAAGAAGGCTCTCTTCATCATCTAAATCTTTTAAAATATATGGTGGTAGAAATGATGTATCTAAACCAACTTTCATTTTACAACCAAAAAGTGCTTCGTAAGGTGACCTATTTATACCTTTATGATAAGCTCGATTTTTCATCAGTTGAATAAATCTTAGACCTTCACTCCACTTTGAAGTGTTATTGTCCCTCATCCATGTCATCAACATATTTTGAATGTCCTGGTTTGCCCGTTCGACACTTCCCTGACTTTGGGAATGTCGAGGTTTTCCATGAACGATTTTTAAATTGGGCCAATAATTTTTTAAGTTAGAAACAATTTGATTGGAAAATTCACGACCGTTGTCGGATTGTAATATAGAAGGTGCTCCAAGTAAAGTGAAAATATCAATTAAATTATAAGCCACTTCTTCTGCAGTTTTTGTCTTTAATGGTTTTATGACGACAAATTTAGTTAAATGGTCCTGATATACCATTATAAATTTAAAAAGTTTATCAGCATTTGATTGAAAATCGATCAAATCAACTTGACAGCGACTATTAAATTCACTAGAAATAATGGGTTTCACTACTAATCCTTTTCTAATTTTTTTGTGTTTTAATTGACACAGTTCGCATAATGACAAATAAAGATCTACTTCGAAGCGCGTAATATTTTTAAACTTACTATTAAGCTCATACAACATTCTGTCTCGTCCTCCATGTCCTAACGATTGGTGAGCATCATGTAACACATCAAAAACGTCACTTTCCTTTATATAATATAAAATATTGTTATCATTATTTTTAACAGGATAAATTAATTTGCTATTATTATTAACGACCAAAATATCATATTTTTTATGTAACCAATAGTCACGCGGCTCTTTTTTTTTTGTTTTCGATTTAGCACTATCTACATCTTTAATTAATTGATAATATCGCTCATCAGTTAAAAACACACTACTCGTATTTTTCAAGTCACAATGACGCTTCAATAACTCGGCGTTAAAACGAACTTTCATTTCGCGCACTCGACTCTCCACGCACGACATTTTGTCAAAGACTGAAATGTAAATGAAAAAATAGTATAAGAGTACCTATATGACTACGGTGACAAAATTATCGCGTTATCTGTCGGCAGTCGGAATTCTACTTTATAGATTACAGATTACAGATTACTAATGGATTTATATATTGTCAAATATCAATAGGTACTGATTATATGGATTTAATATATAACCTATACATTGTTTGGCATTTCATATAATGCTTAGGTAATTTAAACAAATTTATAGATTGCCGACTGTATTTGGTGTTATATAGAATTCCTAGACATTATATAAAATACCAATATTATACACATTGCCGCTAACATATATTTTGTATGAAAAAAAATAAATATACACGGTACACTAGACACCTGTTTCCCCGGACATTGCATAAATTCATTCAACAATGAATCCATTAAAAATGTTAAAGATGTACCTATCACATTATCTACCTAATCAGAATTGAGTCTTGACAGTATAAATTAAGTTTAGTAAAACTATACTTTGATTAAGTACTTATATATGATACTCATGTGTGGTTTTAAATTAATCCGCTGGTGTTGATGTTGGTGTTGAAATAAATATTTTTTAGCACCACCTTCCACCTAATCGTCCACATTACTCGATCATTTACCCCAATTGCCATAACATCGAAAAACCAATATTGATTACACTCAGAAAATATAATACACAATAGTTATCAAATTATATAATACGTATAGATTAGAGGGGCTGGTCCGATTTTTCTAATTCTTTTTTTTCTTTTATTGTCTGTTCTTATGGAAGAAAAAAATAATAAAGTTGCTCCGAAAATTAGTTATTAATTAAAATGAACGTGTTTAAAAATCAGATTCGATTCTAACTTAATACAATTTGTATATTATTTTTGTAGCAACTAGAAGCTTGAATCTTGGTAGGGAGTTGAATGAGAGTATTATAAATTATAATGAAACTTGTTGAGTTTTGACTCACTCGGACACTTTTTCCACGCTTAGGCCGCTATATTGCCTATGTTTAGTACAATTCTACATTCAGCAGTTCAGCAAATAATAGACAGTACTTTAGTCTAGCTAGATACAATACATTATTTTTAATTTTAAAAAAACAATCTAAATACGTTCATAACTCAATAAGATGTATTTGATGTCTGGAATACGAGATACTTATCTTTATTTTTCTAGTGGAAACTTGTGATGTAAGGAGACAACTGAATTATTGAATTTGATTTTTAATCATAATAAATATACAGTACAAAGAAAAAACATTGTATGACGCATAACACATTAAGCACAATATGTAACAAGTATTACACTGTATAAATGTATTAATAACATTGGTAATTTAATAAATTTGTAAAATACAAAAATAAATTCGCTATAACATTCAGTTATGCAGTTTACTCAATAATAAAAACTAAATGCTTGAATAATAAATCAGTCATTTTCTAAGAGTAATATTATTGGCAAAGATTGTGAAGACGGTTAAATTTTAGGTTTTGGCAATAAAGTAATTGAACATTAATTTAATAAAAATGATATTATGTCTGCCCTAAAGCGACTCATAAATACGCATGTATTCATTTAAATGCGTTCGATTCTAATTTAGTGACGTTTAAGGTAATTTTTTCGTGGATGAATGTCACACGCTGACGGGCCGACTAGATGTTTATACCAATCTTGATGGTCGCTTCCTATTTCCTCCAGACACAACGGGCAAATATTACTGACGGTATTTCTTTCTAAAATCAGATATTTAATATTCATTAATTCATTTATTTTAGGTAATACATAATATTAAGGTTCATCATTCAAGCAAAACTTGTTATAGTCACCTATTATTTTTCAATTATTTGATTTTTTTATTAACATTCGTTAAATTTACTATATCTACCTATTACAGCATTACACATGCGTATTAGGTAACTATAAATATCTGAATTACAATATGTAAGTATAATAGTAGTTGAAATTACAATTGCATCTCAAATACCTATATGAATAACTATTTCAATGTTTGGTCAAAATAGGTAATTTAGTATTGTGTAAAGTTTGTTAGTTAACTTTGTTACTAAGAAATTAGTAAAGCTATATCACTATTTAAAAATTTTAAAGTTATTAGTTGATGTAAAATAAAATCAAAATAGGTTGGTGCCAATAAGGAACCTATAGAAGATAGAAAACTATATAGGTACACTGCTATGTATGGTGTACAACAATATTCTTTGTCCATGTGAAAATCACTATATATGTTGTACCGAATGGTAAACTCAGGCGGTAATCAGTCTGCTTTATAATATTTTATTTGATAAAGTTGCTTAAACATATAATACCTTGAGATATTAAATTTAAATTTTAAGTATAATATATAGGAATAGCCAATAGGACACTCGGATAGGGTAGGTATTATTTTATGTTGTACTGACTTGTGCACGTAGGTCCTGAAATGTGGTGTTCTAGAAATTCGATCTCGATCACCTCTAAACACTGATCGCATACTCTATACTTGTCTTTGAAATCGCATTCTTCTGAAAAAAGACAAATAACAGGGTATTATAAGATTGGTTGTCTAATAAATAAATTCGTTATGTGAAAAGTTAGTAATGGGTAATAGTAATAGTTACTCATTAAGTGATGTCGAAGTGCCATAATCTCAATAACTTCGGAACAGTGTTCGCAGCGCATCAACAACGGACAATATTTCCAATAATGTATATTCAATTCTTCTTCGGAGAATACAGATTCGTCTTTGCAAAATGTACAGCGGCTGAACAGTGATAATAATAAAAGTAAATAGTATTAAATTTGACCACATAACAGTATCGTATTTATTATGTTATATTTTATTTTCCAAAAAAATATTCTAAGGATAGCGTCTTGTAAACATTCATAGGCCACTAAATCATAAAATATGTGAAGTAGCAGGTAATCGTAGCCGTTTGGCACTATCTAAGGTCTAACGTATATAATTCCTATAGTAGCCGGATAGGTAATATTACTAATAGTGACAACTGACAAGAACACCACAAAGGTGCTAATAGGTGACACAATTTTTTTTTTTAATGTCTTCAGAATAATCTTGGTATTTTTTTTTTTAAGTCAAGCGCAGCGGCTTCGCCGGTTACTAGAAGTAAATAGGTAAAATATTCAAACAGGAATGCAAAAGAAAATATTTCGACCATCATATTATAATCGGTGCATCATTATAATTTTGAGGTAGGTAATTATTCGTTAATTTTATATTTTAATATTTTTTTAGATTATTGTTAAGCATAAGTAATTTAATACTCACTTTAATTTCAACGCATTGATATTGTTTTGGCCATTCTCGTAAACATCGGCCACGCTGGCTGATGTACTGGAACTTAATTTGCTCTGGACTATGTTATTATGGGTACTTTCGTTATTGTGATAAGTCGACGTATTCTCACTAGTCGATCGCACTAGTTTGCATTGTATTTGACCAACTGTGTCTATTTCGCCTAGTCTCTAAACAAAATGTATTGGTAATTGGTATATTATAATTTAAAGATATGAGTTTAATCTTAGTGTTTTTATGCTGTTTTTTAATATGTTTTTTATTTATGTCCTTTTTTATGGAAAAACCTTTCTGTGACAGTAAAAACTAACAATAATGCTCCAGAAGTTTCAAGCAACACATCGACAGGGAATAAATTGTACTATTTGTACTTTGTAAGTACTTGAGAACAGGTAACTGGGGAAATTTCTTTCCACTCTTAACAAAAACTTGTAAGTTTTGAGCAAACCGTCAACGGTTTATATTTTTTTTTTTTTCATGTGAATATGGATGATAACGGTAGCGTTCAAATTGATTTTCATTCATTTTTCAAAATATCGTTATATATGACGTTAAATATTGTCGAAATATTTAAAATCTATTACTTACTATAATAACTATGGTTTGTTAAACATCTGAAATTGTAAACTGTACCAATATACATATTCAGTAGGTACTCACTTCTTGGTCGATGCGTTCAAACTCTTGCATTAGCTGCCTGTACATGATGTTTCGCCTGGTAATCTCGTCGTCTGGAGGCAGTTGTTTTCGCACGAACCTAGGGTTAACCTTGTAAACGTGTACTAAAATCCGTTCGGCAGCTTTTCGTACAGCTTCAGTTGGATGGTGAATGGCCGACATACCAAATTCACATAAAATACGACAGGTCATCCCGCTAGAAAAATGTATGAATACAAAGAATAGGAAGATCAATAATTACTTACAATTATTAATTTATCATATCATAAACTTGAAGCAAACCTATTTTTGTCGGACGACACGCCTTGGCTGACGATCAGTTGTTCGACCATTTCCAAGCGGCTGAGTATCAGTCTAGGATGTATGTTGCCGGTAAGCAAACGAGTCAAATGAGTCGGTATGATATTTAGTTTTCTAAAAATAAAAAATAATTACATACAAATTACAAGGTACGTATTACATATAATATGTATGTATTATAATGCAACATGCAAGTATTTCAGTAATTAATATGGGTATATATGACAATTAGACTTCAATAACTCGAATAAGTTTTTATATGAAGGCGTAAGTGCCTTACCAATAAGTACGTATACAATACATCAATATCATTTCACCTTATGTCGGGCACTTCAGCTACACTCAATATGGTGTGAGTCGCTATGGTGTTAATACGTGGCGTCGTGTCTCCTGCTTTCGCCAACAATTCAGGAAGTAGGGTTTCTAGACTCCTTGAAGCTTCGCCCGTCGAAACTCTATATATAAGTAGATACATAGAGTATGTACAAAATACGCAATTTTACGATTTACAATAAATTTTAATATAATATACTCATTATATATGTAACTATGTAAGGCGCAGAACTCCGTTATTGCGAATTGTGTGTTCATAATATATAGGTATATCGTACATAAACATATTAAACAGAGACGATTTGGCCGAGGTATACATGACAACGACCACTTACCTCCCGGGAATAAATTCCGAAAACAGAAACCTTATGATTTCTGCGGACAGATTGTAGACGGCAAACACTTTGTCCCTAAGAGTCCGGTGCAACAGCTGGACGGCCGCCCGGGTCATTTTGTTCGGCGAGTGTCGAACTTCAACTCCGTCGAACATAAAACTCTTCATCGAACTTTCCATCAGTTTCAACCCTTCAACTTTGTCCGAATATTGTTTCGAAAAAAAATGTTTCACCTGGAACCGTCGAATATATCTTATACTACGCACGCGCATCAGGTCAGAACATCAGATAATATATATGATATATATCTTATATTGAAATAAATAATAGTGTGCATATTGTATAGTATATTATTTAATTATTATAAACTATAAATTATTATTATGTGCATCCACGTACTATCGTGAGTCCAAATACGGCGATCGGAATAGAAGCCTGTTTCTTGTCTCTGTCACTTAGCTTTGACGTTCCAACACCGCTTGTCGACGTCGACGTCGACGTCGACGAGTCAAGATTATTTTGCGTTTGGCAACTGGAAAATAAAAATCGAGTACATATGTGAACAATTAACTAAATCTTTAAAATTAAACGTGTGGGTATACATGTAATTCGTGTATACACAGAAAACACGTACAATCTTTGGGCTGGAATAGCTTGTTCGTCATACGCATCGTAGCTGTTCTTACTGGATTTTGGACGGATTGGCTTAGGTCTTTTTAATGAGATTGCTTTCGTGACAATGGTATGCTGTAGCTTTGGTGATCTAAAAAAAAATAAAACCATCAACATCCGTAAGAATTCTTTTTCCCAAAATGAGTTTAATGAGTTTACTGTTTCTCGAACCTTTCCCTAGAATTATTTTCAGGATAGTGAAGTGGCGATACTGGACTATGGTAAATGTCTGGTTCGTCAGCCACTTCGGTTTCGATAATTTTTTCTGGTGCGATTTCTTGTTGACAGGGCTTGGCCGGAACTTGTTTTGGTGAATCAATCGGAGACAATGAAGCTACGTACTTAATGGCATCGTCAACTGATCCTGGAGTCTTGTCAACGAGATCTTCAGGTTCCTCGTCATTTACTTCTGAAGGCTATTAAAAACGCAGATTTCAGACTGGTGGTATAATATTATTATTTGTTCAAAATATAATAATTTCAATTTGCTCTTATAACTTAACAATGATTTGATTTGTAAGGTAGGTACATAATATTATGCAGTTTATACTTTACAGTATATAATATATATGCTGTATCAGCGTATAGCTATATATAATATAATTAAAACACGAAAAAAAGTACAATATTTCACCGATTGACGTTTCAATTGAAAGTTTATATCGATTATTAAATTGTATATAATAATACATACTATATGTATTATGTATATACTATATTATTATAGTAATATTAAAAATATAATAAGTTCATGTTTGATTTTCAACTCGATTAATCAATTATAATTTATAAATAAGGTTAATATTCCTATAGTACTATATGTTAAATTAAAAGGGTTTTATATTTTGTTTTAATTAATTGTTATGTGTAAGTGTAATTTCATATTAGTTGCAACAATTGTATCGTACCCTACGGACTCACCCCATTTTTTTCCAAAAGGTCGTCTACCCGATTTTCAATCATCACTTGTGCACGATATTCTTCCATTTGGGTTTTTTTCTTCTTTGCTTTACCGTAGTCTTCGTTTTGTATAGCCTGGGTTTTTGACAGTTCTAATTTCCCTAGCTTTTCTCCAGCAGACCTTAACTCCGTCATCGCTCCTTTTAATTTTCTCGCATACTCAAATCGTTCATCTACGGAAAGACCATATTTTAATTATTATAATTCGTGACATACGTTTTAAAAATAAAATTTACCTCGAACAGCTATAATCTTTCTGTTTTCTAGCATTCGAATGATTTGTGCAATGTGTTTGTCCACGTACATCTCGAAAGCCAAGTCATCACATATTGAACTATGATGGGCGATGCCTCCTTGATCTGTATGTTGTTTTTCCCCAGTCACTTGTATACCTATCAAGCTCACCTGCAATAAACAAAAACACATGTAATATAATATATTTAAAAATAAATATTAGTATAAAAGACTAACTTGATTAAAACGATTTAAGGAATTTTTATGGTTTTCGTACAAAATCAACTTGACATAACTAGTCGCACTAGCCAACGGTAGTGTAATAGTCTTAAGTTCTCTGCTCTTCACCGAACCACCATCATTATCGTTAAGTGTAATATAACCTAAATATTCGTAATTTTGAGTTGATAAGTTATCCGTTTCCACGCATTCTTCTGGCCCAATCCATATTTCAATTTTATTGGCTTTGAACAATAAGAAAAATAAATAATTTATATATACATATACATACCACGCATGTACAAAATATTAGTATAAGTATTTAAAATTTACATCTTACTCATTGCATTTAAATAATTGTTTGAAAAACCCATTAGTAAATATTAAACACTAAATTGTATCTCGATGTTCAGCAGTAAATGCCATACTTCAAAACGGTTTGGTTTGTTTCTTATGATTACCTTCGTAATGTCGAATTAATTGCATATTTCATTGTATACTTACGAATTAAATATTGATGAGCAAGTATCTGGATTTGCTGGATCACGGTGGTTTCGTAGAGTTTGAGTATTAATTGCTGTGGATATTCGCAGTTTTTGGAAGACCTCCATCCCTTGACCGTCGGACCATGATTGTTGAGTTCAGAGCTTTGATAACTTGCATCTTCGCCTAAGTGTATATTTTAAATGTGATTTACAAGTACGAATAAATAACTAATAAGTGACTCTGATTGGGGTCATTAGACAGTGTAGTATTGAATATTCTATTTGTATATTATATTTATTATCTATATTATTGTCAATTTTATAAAGTATGATAGGTGCCTACTGGCTATCCTAATAAACTATCTACTTATTTTAGTTAGGTATACTGTTACATCACTCAGTGTAATATAGTGATATACATAAGTACATAACATATTATTATATTAATAGATATAGATGATATGTTATTATAATACGTTAAGGATGTAATGTTATTGCTAGCTGATTCATGTACCTGAACTTAATAACTTGGTTTAATACATGGTTAGTTTCTGATAAGGAAATCTCTCTCATGCCATTTTTAAATAATATAAATGTTTATATATAATTTCTATATGTTTATACATATATAGAATTGTGTGCACCTACACATATTATCCGTGTAGTTTATAAAAACATTATGGATATTCACACATTTTAAGAGATTTTAGTTTGCAAAAATAAGAAAAAGTAAACATGTAAGACATCAATCATCAGCATGCGTAATTTATTTGATTACTATTAAAAATCTATAAACTTTAATAGATACCTACATTATAGTTTAAGATACCTACTATAGTATATATGAAGATGTTGAGTGATTCACAAAATATAATACCTACTTATTGACAATCGTTGTATGTTGTATAGATAGATTCATAACAATTAAAAATATAATGTACTATTATTATATTACCTAATACCTATGCAACTGAAACTAGTGAAATTTATACTAGTGATTTTTCATAGCAGTGTAGCATAGTAGAGGTTTATCTAAACTATACATAATACAGAAGTACCGTAGTGTATTGAAACAAAACACGTGGCAAAATTGTAATCAGTGGGAGAGGGATAAACGATGGCATTGCATCCTTCCACTTTTTATAATTCACATTTTCCATCCCTCCACTTATTTTGCACGACTGTTTAAACGATATATGAGAACTATATAAATTATGAAAGGCCACTTCGACCAGTGGTTGTAATGGTGACACAACAGTAGAACATTTAACTCTTAAAGTCGTCAACAATCGATAAACATAATATAGATATTAAATAAGGTGGTTAAGTACGAAACACGAGTACAAGTACAAGTACAGTATGCAGTGTCGGCCTGGTACCTTAAGGGCCCCGGATGCATTTCTTCAGAAGGGCCCCCAAAAAATGTTTTTTCATAAAATTATTAAAAATGTACTTATAAGTAGTGTAAAATATTATAAATTTTTAAAGGTACCATATACCTATAAAATTAAGCATCCATTAAGATTAAGTTAAGATTTAAGTTAGATTAATAATTTATTATTCTAAAAAATTTTTTACATATTGCATAATATAAATAATACCTTCTCACATGAACTTAATATTTTTTTTAATGTGATTCAAATTCAAAATTAATTGTGCATTTGATTTTCTTTGTATCAGTAATTTTTTTAGTTCACTAGATGAGTTAGCAATCGTATCAATCAACTCATCTGAGTCAATCAAAATATCCTTTTCAATGGACATTAGCATTAATGGTACATTGGTTATTCCGTCTGGAGGTCGAAAACTATCTACTATTTATGATAACAATAATCACTCACACAGATAACAAAAGTTATCACATAAATACATAATAATATTATTAATAATAATATTCATTATCCAATATTTATATTTCTGAGTACGATCGGGGGTGGGGGCCCCCCAACACAAATACGGCCGAGGGTCCCGGACGCGTTTGCGGCCCAGCGGCCATGGCCAGACCGACACTGACAGTATGAGTATAATCATCGATTACAGTGTCAAAATGCAAAAGTAGATTAATAACTTCTATAATATTAGCTAGGCAACATAACTTACTTGTCTTGTAAACAACGACAAACTCCACTTTTCCAGCTGACATTATTTACGTCGGATTGAACGTGGTTAAACTGAAAAATACGTTTCACCGTTACCTAAAAGGCATATAATTAAAATAATACAAATTTCCTCTAACTTGATTTTAATTTTACTTGATTTATAATGTTGCTTAAAATAAATAGGTACAATATTGTACAACAATGTATTTAATTAATCTCATGCATATTCATTAGAAGAGAAAGATATCTATAAGATGATTAAGTTACCAACTTTTAATCTCAACAGTTTTCCATCAAAATTGTAAAATCAATTTTATTTAATTTACCCAAGTGGTCGACTACTACTACCAGTACTAGTACTTATTAATAACTATGTATACTTTCAAATGACACTATTCGTAAGTAAGTCGACTTTAGCTTCGTGTAATAGTCGTGTAAGGTAAATAAATATAAAATTGTTTTGTAATGAATACTTATTTTTTCTTACATTGGCTGTAGGTATACTTTGAATTAAAAATATTACATCTAAGTATTCAAATATTCTAGTTTGAAAATTTATTTTACTATTATCTATGTATATAGGTGCAATTTTTATTGTATAGTAATTGCAGTATTTCCTGGATCAATATTTTTTTTTTAATTAAACTATTGAAGTTAAATATAGTTTGTTATTTACCATATAGGTTCAATTAAATACATGAAAAGAAATACTTCTCTTAAGATTATACAATTATAAAATAATACATTATTTGTTTAAAATATAGTAAAACTCACTGTGATAAAAGTACAGTGTAACTAGTACAAGACGTGTACAGGTATCCGATAGTAATTCATTACTAATAGACGTTTCGTTTTACCTGCACGAATGAGCGATTTTTACTGTTGTTGGCGGTGCCGAATTTTCTTCTGACGTATTTGAACCGTTCCGACCGTTCGGAACTATTAAACATCACGTCGACGGAGTTTTTTTTTATTTCGTTTCCTTTTAATTTATCGTTTTTGCTTCTCTCTTCCTCTCTGTCACAACCACTACCGCCTACGACGCGTGTACACACACACACACACACACACACATATTATTATGCCGATTGCCGACGATTCCTGGATAAAAATCAATCGATCGAAATCCGTTGCAGCCGCGGTCGTCGTCGCGCCGTCATCGACGGACGTCTGCACGCGATCCCATAACAACAAAGTTTTCCAACTTCAACGGCGGGCTGGCGGGCGGGCGGGGATCGGACGCCGCCGTGTCGTGATATTTTGTTTGGGCGAGCGTTTCCGTCACCCCATAGGTTGATACAACAATGACATGACGTACGAAAAAACGCGACTTTCGTCTTTCCGCGTTTCGATCGCGCGCGCTCTCCGGACGGAACGCCGGTGCGCACGCGCACGCCGCAGCGACCGACGACGCGTATACCTACACACGATTCGAAAGCCGCGCGCAATCGATAGAACAACAGCGACGACCCGCGCGCGCGCGCGCGCGCATCTGCCCCGAGATCTGTGGCTGGGTACCGCCGAACGCGACGTGTATACAGTGTGCATCAAAAGTCACCATTTCACCCCGAGTCCTGCAGAGTAACGAGCGTGTCCAGTCTGCGAGACCGCGACGCGCATGGATGCGATTAAATGCGGTTTTCAACAGCGAAATTCCATGTGTGCAGGCAAATATGCCGGTTTAACCGCGGCATGCCCGTGCACATTTCTCACGGATTATGATGTCATCAGTTAGTGATGAGGCACTGCAAGTCGCGAAAACCGCATTTAGACTTTGCACTGATCGCGGTTAGCGTCACGGCGATAATTATTTGGGCTACGCGGTGATGCGGGACTTGGTGACTTTTGGGGACATGCTGTATATCAGTGGTTTTCAACCTTTTTTGGATCGCGACCCCCCATTTTATATTTTTTTTTTTGTACCGCGACCAACTTCAAAAAAAAAATGTTGTTTTATTCATCTTTTTTTTAATAAAATGGAAAAATCATTTCATCTTTTATTTTTGGCGACCCCCAGGTTGAAAACCACTGCTGTAAATGATGTGTTTTAATATTAATATTCGGGCACCAGTGTGTCCGTGTGCGGGCGCCGGACGGCCAGAGATCGACAGACGCAGCTGCGATCTTTCTGGAAATCTGGATGCCATATCATTATTATTTATTATTATTGTTATGTATACTTTTAACGGGGGGTAAATTGAAATCAATTCATTATGCATGTTATAAATTTTTATTTATAATTGTAATAGATCGAATGGTATACTGTATTATTGTAGTATTCTACTCGTCACACAATGAATTTGATTTCAACTAAATAGTATTATACTATATAATACATCGTTATGTTGGTGAAATAAATCTTTGCCGAAATCTTAATTTAGACTGCAAACTAGGTATCGGCATATTTGACTGAAACAACATAAAGACCTGTATTAAGCAGGACATATGAGCCCTATAGTTATTACGTTAAACATCCATCCCTGGTCCTAATTCTCTGTACAATATTTAATTTTCGATGATCCGAAAAGTACTTTTGTCAATACATAATACATAATAAAAATATGTGTAGTAGTACTGTACATAATTATAGTGGTATTATTAAGTGACACAGGTATTAGTAAATTATATAAAAAAAATAAATCGATACAACAGCATAGGTAAATAAAAGTGGGTTTAATGGGAATTTTATAATGTGTATTATTGCATGAAGGTATCAGAAAGTTTATTTATAGGAAGGTAATTTAAACTATATACATTATATGATATTATATAATTGTCATATAACCTACTCGTATATCGATAAGTTTTATTTTCCAACAAATGATATTATATGTATTTTAGTTTTGCATTGAAAAATGTTCTATTTACATACGATAATATAAAGATTGCTAAACAGTAAACATTTTAAATGTACCTACTAATAAAGACAAAATAAATTCATTATATAGTTTGTTATAATCTATAGATTGGGTATAGCTGTATATAGGTTTAACTACACAAGACGTTTTAATTGTTGTTCACTGGTGTATCCATAGTAATTGAATTTTGAAACAGTTTAATTGAAATTATAATCAAAATCGCTATTATTTACTTTAATTACAATTGATAATTGATTTGGCCTTATTTTGATTCGATATTTTGTGGTAGGTACAAAAGATAGTGATGGGTACTTTGGTAGTCTATCTACGACGCCGTATAACAGTTTATTAATTATTATGATATATTTTATACTTGAAAATAAAATACACACCGATTGTCGTCTCGTCTCTACATTTTTATTTGGTAATTACGTAAATAATATGTATGACAGTTTAAACAAATATGAACAATTTAAATGTCTTCTAAGTTCTAACAAATATTATGTTATATAAAAAATATATAATATTATAATAATTGTTGGCTCGTCAATTCGTCATTTTGATTAGAGGAAAGCCAATACAATATTAAAACTCACACAAATATGTACTATAATATGTACCAAATAGCCGATTAAAATCTAGGAACCGAAAATCTCAGTAGTATAGTAACTAATTCTAGTCTGAATATTTCTACAAATTTGAACCCTAGAAATAATTTTGATTTAAAATAATGATGGATATATTATATACATATGTATGTTATATACAAGTTAGTAATCTAATTAATAATAATATAAACTAATACCTAAAATCTATAATTATTAGTTGTTTCATTAGGCGCTCAAGTAATCTATGTAAAAATACTTACCATAACATTTGTGTAAAATAGTTGCGGTTTTTAAGTAAGCCGTTACTATGGGGATACCATTGGTATACACAAATGGAAAATTATAACCAGATACATTTTTAATTTTTGTTTAGCTAATAATTTTGTACCTAACAATTGATAAATTCTGAGTAACTTCAAAATGGATTCAGCACATCTCAAAAATAAGTTTAATGCTTATGACAGTGATATGTACTCTCAATATGATTACCATTTAGATGGGGCAAAAGAGGATCCGGAAGAAATTCTTAGACAAGCTCTACGGTCATCTTACAGCAGAAGAGCATCAGTTAATATAATAATACACATTAAACTATTTTAACATAGGTACCTATTTAAAAAAAAATCCAAATTAATGTTTTTTTAACAGATGTCCACCAAAGCTCCGACGGGTCTTCCACTGCCATTTGCCACAACTCCAGTAAGTAAAAAGGTTTATAATGTGGAATATAATATAATATTTAATTATTTTTTTCAACAATATTTTTATTTTCAAAGCAAATAAAAGACCCACATGCATTGGTTTTAAGACCAGAAAGCTCTAGAAGTGGTTCAGAATCATCAAATAGACCTGCAACAGCTGTCAGAGGAGCTGGTTACACATCACATTCATCTACATATGATGTTCTGAGTCAGCCTTCAAGAAATATGATCATGTCAGAACCAAACAAAGAAGAAAGGTATTTAAGTATGGATCAAATTAGTTGTATGCACTATGTTCATTACCTTAAATCTATATTATACAATAATAATTATAGCAAACATTTAATATGTTTTAAATTAAGCACCTAAATGATTGTAGAATGGAAGATAAAATTAAAAAACTTGAAAAGCGCATACATGATTTAGTCAATGATGCCTGTATGGCTGAAGCTAGAGGAGACTTTCAGCTAGGATTGGAGAAGTCAAAAGATGCTTCAAATAAGGAAAGAAGTTTAATTAGAATGCAAGAACAAGCAGGACTGAACGATTCTCACAATATTGATTTGACCTTTTTGGTACATTCAAATTTCAATAACTTTTTTTATTCAATTCATTGTACTTAGTTTTTCATTACTTAGATGTTTTCCTTTTTTGAATTTCTAAATTTCCACCTAGTAATATTGTTATTAACAGTTTTAAAGAATTACTTATGATCACAAAATGTATTTATTATAGCAACCGTTTAGGTGTTATTTACATTAGGTAATCAGTATGCAGCAAATGAAATGTATACAGAAGCCTTAAATACATATCAAGTGATTTCTAAGAATCGATTGTTTCAAAATGGTGCACGAATGAGAGTAAATGTTGCAAATATTTATGAAAAAATAGGACAGCCCGAAAAAGCAATTAAAATGTATCGAATGGCTCTTGATCAAGTTCCAAACACCAATAAAAGTTTCAAGTAGATTAAATGAACTATTATTTTATATTAAATAAACTCTATTCCTAATTACTAATTACAATTGTTGTGATTTTAGACGAGCTATCACCCATAATATTGGTGTAATATTTTTGAAACTAGGAAAATATGAAGACGCTTGTTCAAACTTTGAGTATATTATGCACGAGAAACCTACATTTAAAGCAGGAATGCATGCCTTGGTATGCTATTATATGTCGGGCAATAAGGATAAATCAAAACAAATATTCAAACAAATGTTAGAAATATCATTAGACATAGATTTTGAAGACAAGTATGCTGCGAATTCTGTATGAAATAAATATTTCTTAGTTAATTAATTCTTCAACTATTATTAAAAATAAATGTTTTATAAATGATTAGGACGAAATTGAAGCCACACTCCTAGCAGAAGCTATAAAATCTGATTCACTTACAAAATATGAAAAACAAATTAAATCAAATTTTGAAAAAACTATTCTAAATGCAGCACACCTAATATCTTCAATCATTGAAGATACATTCACCGAAGGATACAGTTGGTGTTTAGACACTATTAAGATGTCTCGTTATTCTTACTTAGCTGGCCACTTAGAGATAAATAAAGCTGTTGGATTTCTTTATCAAAACAACATAGCATCAGCAATTGACACTCTCAAAGCGTTTGACAACAAGGATAGCAAAGTAGCAAGTGCGGCTGCTACAAACTTGTCGTTCATACATTTTTTAGTATGTCTCTTACCAAACATGACACAAATCTGATAACTGACATTTATGTGTATGACATTTATAGAAAGGTGATTTGGAACAAGCAGAAAGGACTTCAATAGCTGCCTGTGAAACAGATTCATTGAATGGTCTGGCATGTGTCAATCAAGGAAACTGCTTCTTTGTCAAACAAGACTACTACAAAGCAAAAGAACTTTACACACTTGCGCTAGAGAAAGATATGATGTGCTCAGAAGCAATGTATAACTTGGGTTTGACTAATAAGCATCTTGGGCATTTGGATGATGCTATGGATTGTTTTCAAAAGCTTCATGTCATTATTAGTAATCATCCAGAAGTAATTTATCAAATTGCATTATTAAATGAAATGATTGGAGATCTGGAACAGGCCATAGAGTGGTAACTATGCACAAATATCAAATTCAATTATTTACAGGGACATTTATAAATTTAGTTGGACAAGAATGATTACTAAAATTATTATAAAACATTTATTTTACATTAAGGTATTTACAACTGTTGAGTATAGTTCCTGACGATGTCGGTGTTTTACAAAAATTAGGCGATATTTATGAAAACATTAATGACAAGCAACAAGCATACCATTATTATTATGAGGTTTGAAATACTTTTGTAAATTGTAATTGCTTTAATAAATGTTCACATTAAATCTAATTTTAGTCGTACCGTCATTATCCTTCAAACCTAGAAGTGTTGGATTGGTTAGGAGCATACTTCGTCGAAATGAAAGTACCAGAAAAAGCAGTAGATTACTTTGAACAAGCATCTCTCATGCAGCCAGCTGAACCAAAATGGTATATGTTAATTGGATCGTGTTATAGAAGAGCGGGACAATTTCAATTAGCTTTACAAACTTATAAGGATGTGTTAAATAAATTTCCTGACAATACTGAGTGTACGCCAACACTAATTTAAACTATAAGATAAGATTACTAATATAAGATTAATTATTTAACAGCAAATTTAATAATTTAGGTCTCAAGTTATTGATCAGAATATGTACAGATTTGGGACTGAAAGAAGCTTCAGAATATAGTGAATTGTTGAGAAAAGCTGAGAAAGCTAAAGATATTAGGGAGCGTATAAGTACAGCACGTACTGGATACCGCAAGACTATGGAAACAAGGGGTGGAACCGGTATGGTTACGACTTCTAACACAAATAACTATGTTCAAAAATCAACAGCTTCGGGAGAAACAAATATTTATGTACACGACAGCCCTAAAGATTCAGGTATGCATTTTTTAAAATATACACCTAGTTTTTACTAAGTAAATTACTAGCTATACAAGAAACGAAATGTGAATTGTATAAGAAAATATTAAGAATGTATAAGCAGAAAAAAGAATTTAATGTTCGACTTTTTAGTTTATTATTATTGAATTAACATAGTGCATTTAAATATTTATAGGTCAAACTCAATAATACTTATTTTATTTTGATACACTTATAACTTTTATATGATATAATCAAGGTATGGTGAGTGATTCTTCTCAACGCCCACGGACATCTAGAGGAGGTACGGCTGTGATTACTACATCAATGCCTTTAACAAGTGCCTATTCACGACAAAATATTTCTGATGAAATGAATATATATGTCCACCCAGAACCAAAATTACCACACGGTATTCATCATCTTAAATTTATATGCATTGCATACTATAATCTAGTGATGCCTAACTTTTTTTCTTTGACTGCTACAATTTTGGAATTTTGCGTTTGAATGGGCCATCAACAACAGAAAAATATATAATATATTAATAAAAACAAAATGTAAACATTTTAGAAATACTGAAATTTTTATAAATTTTAAAATTGCTTAATTGGGTTGGGCATCAGTACTTTAATCAGTGCTGTAGCTCGAGATTAGCAACATGGGCGATCACCAATCGTAAAACCTACCCATAATACTGGTCATTTTTTTAATTATTAAATTATTATATATATTATATATATATTATTATTTATAATTAATTAATGAATAACATTGTACTATATTTCAAATGATCAAAAAAAGAATTATGTCACAAACAATAAAATCACCTTAATATAACGGACCCCCATTCAGAAATTTTCTTAAAACAGAAAACAGTAATAACATTAGTCTCACATAACCAATAACCCATATATTTTAATCTTTGTATAACCGAAACTCCTTTATAATGAAAATGCCATCAAAATGTATCAAGCGATTCCATTATAAGGAGGTTTCATCATATTTGTGAACATTAAGCATTTTGTACTTATTTGTAGGAATGCAATATTTTCATAATATGCCTGTGGATAATACAGAGGCAAAAAATGTTTTGTAAAGAATAAAATGAAGGCTAGCTACAGCACTGATTGTTGATGTATAGTAATGGTATAGATTAAATATAAGTAATTTATATTTTCATTTAGAAATGTACAGTGATCCATTGGGACCCTTACAGAGACCACGTACATCCACATCAAGACCAATTACATCATTAGAAAAAGAATTTGCAGATGAACAAGTTCAAGACCTTTTGCCGGAATAATTATGTATATAATAACAATAGTCATTATTTTATTTACATTTTTGCACAAATACAATTTTTTTATAATTGACTATTTAATAACTAGTTTCTTTAAATAATGTCATTTAAAATAAAAAGTATCCAAAAATCCAAGAAATCCAAGACGTTTGAGTCTGTGGTTGATCTAATTTGGTTTCTATGTTAGTTTTATCTGGTTTTAAAATGTTACTTTCTTCAAAGCGACGTTTTGTTAATTCTAATGCAGCTAATCTTTGATCGTTTAAAAATGAAGGCAATCCTAATAAAATAAAACGAATTATAATATTATTTCACCCAAAAAAAATTAAAATAAAATAATAGTATACCTTTACATTGGTACCATGACGTGAGGTAATTTGAAACAGTAACTCCAGGGTCGTCAAAGTAAGTGATTGAAAATTCAACTCCTGGCTATAACATAATAGACAATATACTTATAATTATAAACATTCAACTTAAAGAACTATTAGTTTTAATTCTCATGAAATGTTTAAATGATAATTTTCTATACATGAATGCATTTTCACTTTTCAGAATATTTTGGATTTTTAAAGCTGTTTATACTAAACTCTATATTTGAAACATGACATTTTTATTTGTTTTTTTTCTATAAATGTCTATAAAATTTTTTTCATAGTTAAAAAGCTTAAAAATTGAATTCAAGGTTCCTTTAAAAGTTTTTAATATAGCAGTTCAAAAACATCTGATACATATGCATATAAAAATACATTTATACAAGATTTGAAAAATTATTTTGTAGTTAAAAATGTCAAAAGCTAGAAAAATTTGGATTAAATTAGATATTTTAAATTGTTAACAAAAAAAGTAACAAAATAGTTATTTTTTGTAATTTAAAAATAATATTTGCAGGTACTTCAAACATTTTAAGTATGTTATTATATTTTATACACGCAATGACATTTATAAATACTATTTTTTTAACAAAAACCTACTGTATTAGTGTATTACTAATAGTAAAATGATGAATCATTAATTACTTTAATAGTAATAATGTCATAAAAAAACTTAGTAATACAGACTGATAAGACTATCTTTGCTCAGAACTGTAGTTTGTATACAATGATTTTATGTTACTGAATTCAAATTTAACACACTCATAACAGTGAACTAATGAACCCACTTGCCCACCTTATGTTTTTTTTATTCTTACCTTATCAAAATCATCATGTGGTTTAATTACAATATATGACCAATAATCTTTTACTCTCCATTTATTATACTTTTCAGGATAATCAGGATGTTCAACGCTTTCAGAAACAACTACCATTAATTTTTCATCTTCATCAATTTTGTAGCGCCGTTTAAACACATAATCACGATTTTGAAACCATTTCTATAAACCATTCAAATGTTTGTATAAATATTTACATTCAAAAAAAAAAGTAAAAATAATTCAAAACAAAATACTATTCTGAAGCCACAAATTATGGATTTATTAGTTTCATCAAAAATCTAAGTCAAGGCCAATTTAAAAATTAAATTAATAACCTACTTATTTTAATATCAATGATATTGACTAAATATGTTAAATACATAAATATATTATAGAAGTATTTAACGCAAAACAGGTTTTCTTTATTACTTGATTGAGAAATATCTTAAATCTTTAAAAATTTGTTAAATTAAATAGGAATGTCAACATTATTACAAGACAAATAAAAAAATATAATAATCTCAATAAAGATGATGTTCATACTTTATTGTACACTATTAAATACTATCCAAATCTAAATTCCCAAATGGTTAAGAAATAGATATTGGTTTTTTTTTTTAATTTTGGAGAAAAAATATAAAAATAATAATAAAACAAACCTTTAAAAAATTATTTAAATTCTAATTTGTATATTCGTTATTGTAATAACTTCAAGAAAATTTTGATTTTCCTTCTGATACAGGAATTTGTTTAGTCTAATAAATGTACACATATAAACATTTTTATAGTATAACTTTTGGCAAACAATAATTACCGGCCAACGAAATTCCCAGTAAATGAGATCACTATGTGTGAGAGGCTCTGAATCAAAAATATCCAAATCTACAGACATACTATCCCATTCTTTTCGATATTGAAGGTCCAACTGCACTTGCATGAAGTCCAATGCTGTTATATCATTAAATGAGCCATGCACTAAACAAATATAGAAACTGTGAATTTTGATTTTTTTTTAAATACTATTAGTTACCTTTATAAATATATAAATTTTGGCCTGGGTAATCAACATTAGGTTTTCTCCAGGCGTTGTAATAAGAACCACTCGTAAAAGGTTCCCATCCTTCCTCTGCAAAAATAAATGAAAACAAACTACAAAAAACGTTTTACAATATTAAATTAAAAATTAATAATTAGTGTTGGTATTTTATATAATTACCACTCATGTTTCTACATCTGGGACAATCACAACTGGTATAAGAACAATCAAATTGGTTTGGATTATTTTCTGTATTAGACTTAAATTCATTACTACTAGACACTGGCTTTTGAGAAATATTAATATTTTGCTCATTTTGAATACTATTTGAGGTAGATTGATTATTTAATTTTTTAACAATTCCAAATTCTTGACGTAACCTATTAATAAATAAAAATATAGATATTAAATTAAATAAAAAATGAATAAATAATTTCAAAACCAATATACCTGATTAGCTCATCCACACATATTCTTTCTTTGTACCAATCAAATGTAAAAGCCAAAGCAACACACATGATCAAGTTTTTTCTGTGTTTAGCCAACTGTTGCTTGAACTTATTGACAGCAGTGATCATTTTTTTACAAGCAATCATTACCTTTTTCGATCTTGAAATTTGAGTGCCAAAGTCTTGTTTTTTAAAAAAACTTCTGGTGCGCTTTTTTAAAATAGATAATAGTAATGAATCATTGGATAACGATTTCTTGCACCTCCTTGAGAATGTACGACATACTGCTTGTGCCCGACAACTTGATGATGCCATTAATAAATTTGGTTTCCAAACAAAGCTTTTAATTGACATATTGATCAGTTCACTGTGATGTTATTAGAAAAACAAAAAGTAAAACAAGTTATTGAATTTTAAAATGGAATCAAAATTAAAATAATATAACTTTTTATAAATCTTTTTCACATACGAAGGAGACCTATTTGGAAAAATGCCAAAATATTTTGACTGTTTATAGAAAACAAATGATTTATATGAAACGGCTAATATATAATTGTAATAAGAATGCTTCTTAGAATCAATCTGTCATAAAAATAAATACCCACCCAATTAGGTAGAAAGATTAATCTAAATTACTTAAAGAGCAATCATGAAATATAATATAAACTAAAAGTTCATGGAAAGTCATGGAACTTAATAAAATCACTTTAAACTTATTAAAATCACACTAAACTTTATAGGTATCACTTAACATTTTCCAAACAGAACTAATTTTTAAATTTGAACTTAAAAAATTAATTACGCTGTTATCCCTAAAGTAACTTTTTCCTTTAAAGAAAATAAACATTAAAAAAAATCACCTATTTATTAATTATTTGTTTGATAATTGATAAATGTATTCAAAGGAAATAGTTTATCATCGGGTAGATTATTTCTTATTAGAACACATTGTGATTAAATAACTTACAAAAGCTAATTAATTAGAAAGGTACAATTTCTACGCGTTGCGGTACAACAATGTTGAGTAACATATTACTGCCGTTACAGTCTCAAAGTTGTTTTCAGTTTTTTTCTGCGTCACATGTATTATAATAATAACCCCGTCGGTCCAGATACGAGTTGATTATTGACTAAATGTTGCGAAATACTTAAATGAAAGCACGGCGCACGCCGATAATAACATAATTAATTCTCACGATTGACTGGCATTGACTGATGTCTGATTCACAAATCATCGTAGGCATAATATTATTAGATGCACATAACTCGTAAATAGTATGTAGATTAAACATTTAGACAAATCTATATTATATTATTTATATTATTAGGTATAAATAAATATAAATGAGAGTTTTTGACTCAAGTCCAAAATACAAGGTTATCTTCTTTCTTCAACTGAATAGGTAGTTCAAACATGTGAAAAATCAGTGTTTGTAAAAATGGGAAAACAATTTCAATTTGTTCATTTACCAGACAATAATAATTGTATTATCTTCAATCGTGGTTATCAGTCGTCATAACAGTAAATGTTATCAGGACAGGTGCATACGAGCGCTGGCTTTCCCGAAGTAAGACGACATTAATTGGTGGGTAGTTTTAAATTCAGGCGATGCTCGATAACGGCGTCAAAGTGGGTTCGAGTCGGATATTTATAATTGTTCTGCTATGCTATTGAGCTTTGAAGTGTAAATTAATTGTGAATTTAAAATATTAGAATTGTAAACAAAACTTAATAAAAAAAAAAAATTAATACACTCGGACAATTAATAATAAAAAATATTTGTGTCCTATGTTTCATGCTTAGTTTTTATTAGAATATTTAATAATACTTATTACAAAGTACTTTGATGTAATAAATTGTGTACAAAGTATGAGCACAAATTATATGAAAATATTCATATAATCTGTGTCACGATCACGAACTATGAGTATGAGTGGGTTTAACACTTATTGCTTATATGTATGAGTAATATTAAAAATAATGGGGAAACGTTTTTTTAAAAACATATATTCTGACAGTAACGAATGTGATGTAAGTACATATTACAAACTTTGGAAAGATAAAGTAAATAACTTAATGCAACGTGTGAGTAGAAATGCCTCATCATCATCAAAAAACACCTTGTATACTGGAACGACCGGTATTGCATACATGTTCTATCACTTGGCAATATCAAATGAATTTAAAAACGATCCCTCGGCCTATTTAAATGAAGCAATCAAAGTTTTAAAACTTAAAGAAAACAATTTTAATCAAAAAAAATCAAATCAATTTATTTGTGGAGATGCAGGAGTAAACGCTGTAAATGCTGCAATATTTCACCAAATTGGTGATGAGAAAACTGCGGAAGTGTATTTGAAATATTTTGAAAATGGGGTGACTACTTGCAAGCCAATAGGTTCTTTGGAACCGGGAGAAGATGAACTATTTGTTGGTCGCGCAGGTTATCTCTATGGAGTTATATGGTTAGAAAAGGTTTTTGGAAGAAAAATAGTACCTGACCAAGATGTTATTGATATATGCTTAACAATAGTAGAATCTGGTCGTCAATATTCAAAAACAAATAAAAGCCTGTTTCCCCTTATGTATTCATACCATAGCAAAGAATATTTAGGCAAGTTATCTTCAAACATAAAATTAAAAATAATTTGGCTCCATTTCAATGTTAATATTCCCTTTGCTTGTTATTTTATGTTATAGGAGCAGCTCATGGTTTATGTACAATTCTTCAAGCATTAATTTCATTTCCTTGTTTTATTAAAAATGATCAAAAAGCTAAAGAAGATATTAAAAAATGTATAGACCTATTGATATCCTTACAAACATCCACTGGTAATTTTCCTACTAAAATACAGGAATTAGAATCAAAACAAAGAACTGAGGAAGACGAATTAGTTCATTGGTGTCATGGAGCTCCAGGTGATTGATTTTTCTAACTATAGGTAGGTAGTCATTAATCCTAATACTTGTCAATGCACTACAGCTAATGGTGGTTAGTTATCTAAATAAATACAGAGTGTATTTTTTGTTTGTCACCTATCTTCATTGTTCTTACTTTAAATTCTTTTTGTTTTATTCTCATTGGTAACTTTTTTTCTTACTAATATGTTTGACATAATCACGTTTTTTTAAAAACAATTTTTTAATTAAACACTAATTTGAAATTTTCATTAAATATTCAAATGGTCTTACAAGTTTTAAAGCTTAAGCAGGAGTTAGCGTGTTTGTATCTCCACAAGACATTCTTTAAGTAATGATGGTACAAAAATTAAAAAATGTCAGGAATTTTGAAATTAAAAAATCAGATTTTGATTGCATTGTTGAAGAAGAATTGTGGGTAAATATACTGGTAATTCACCTTGTATATTGTTGTAAATGGTGAGAGAACATGGATAAAAAAAAAGGTGAGACATTCTGTATTACTAAATATTTCAAGAAATCAGCCGGATTGACCAGGCGAGTTATTGAGTTAAACCCAATTGGCCGCGATAATTTTGTGCCGTTCAAATCATGAAGGGGCGCCGATCGAAAATACTTTAAAAGTTGAAGAAGTGAAGTTTGAATGTTGAACTTGCACAGACCATAATACAATATGGTTGTAAGTTGTTGATATTAAGTTTTTAATTTATCCAATCTGGCCCCGCAAGCAAAATTTGTTGACATTTTGATTATTTTATTAAAAATAAGTATAATACTTTCGTACTTAAATATTTATTTTTTCAGGTGTTGTATACTTATTCGCTAAAGCATATTTGATTTTTAAAGAACCTTCTTATTTGGAATGTTGTTTAAAATGTGGAGACTTGGTATGGATGAAAGGACTATTAAAAAAAGGCCCCGGTAAACTGGGTATATGGTATTGTTCATATTTTAATTTATTAATATTTATTTTTAATTTTAGGATTATGTCATGGAATAGCTGGGAACGGATACGTTTTCTTACTACTATATAGATTGACCGGCGATAGAAAACATTTAAACCGAGCTATACAATTTGGTAAATTTATATTCACTGATGAATTTATTCAAGGATCTAGAAGACCAGACAATTTGTACAGTTTGTATGAAGGATTAGCTGGCACAGTGTGTTATTTAAGTGATTTAATTCAACCAGAGAAAGCTAGTTTCCCATTTTTAGATGTGTTTTAATTAAATCTTTTGTTGAATCAATTATCAAGTGAATGTACAATATTCATTGTAAATAGTGATATTGTATATTTGTATGTTCTAAATGTTTGATAATGGATGTACATTAATATAAGTTTTAATGACATAACTTTAATTGTGTATGTCGTATAATACATTGTTGATAAATCATACACATGTTTGTACATAATCATCAATACTTTATTTGTGATTTTAATTAACTATGAATGTTGAATGAAATCACAATGTATATAAAGTTATGTGTATTCATTGTGTCTACATTGAGAATGAAATTATTTCTTCAGGATCAGTTCATCGTATAAATTATTATTTTGTCTCGATTTTGAATTTAAGATGAAGACTGTAAGCTATACCCTAATACCTTTTTCATTGTTCATTCTTCAGTTTACTTTCATTTTAAAATATAATGTTATTCAACTAAATAAATATTGTTCAAAAATCCCCGAAAAAAATTAATAATTATAAAATAATTATCAATAAATATAATTTAGAATCACAGTTATAATACTGAAGGATAGAATAAATTAAAATAATTGTATAAACTAAAACACATTTATGTTTAACTTACTGTGCAAGAAGCATAACAATAATATGATAATAAAATTTATTAAAAAATAATTAATTATTAATATTAATATTAATTATTATTATTTTATCTATAAATTATTCATTTAATAATAATTGACTTTACATTAGTCATTTTTGGAATGAGACTGATTAGAGCACATTAACGTATTATAAAAAATATTTTGGATTGTTGTTTGAATTTCACTTCCAGTAAATGTTTGATCAACTGGAAACTCGCGTGTTATACTCTTATACAAGGTTTTCATAGATTTTTTTAACTCATTTGAGTTTTCTATTTTATTTGGCTTCTCTTTAACCAATGCTTCTAATTTTGTTAATCTCTCATTGGTTTTTATATTATCTATTTTCAAATTTTCAAATTCTTTATAAAGTGATTCAATACAAACTCTTGAAGGAGCAACAGTTTCCGCAGTTAGGTTATCTTCAATAATTTCTTTTGCTTCAATCAAAGTAGAGTAGTTTTTAGGAGCTGAATTTAATGGTTCTTGACTTATACTATCTGGAAAATCATTTATGACATTTTCTTTGATTTTGTAAACATTTTTCACAGTCACAGTTAAACATAAACATTGTCGCCCATTTGTCAGAATTTTCCAAGCACCCATTTCAGCAACTGGTATGTATACAATCCTTTTAGTGTTGTCATTAACCCCTAACAAGGACCTTTCCCAACCTTCTTGATTAACATTAACTTTCAAGTATCGATTATCATCAATGTTATTAGAAACTTCTGGTCCCATTGTCTTACCCTGAACTGTATGGGCAACATAAATGATCTCTGCAACACTACCCAGCACTGCTACATTGTCATTGCGAGAAGGATAATAAAGATCAAACCAAAACAATTCTTTAAGCCCATTAAGTTTCCACAGTACAAATGCCAAATGGGAGTTGAAGTCCACAGCGTCATTCGTATTTGAGAATTCTAAATGCCAGTTCTCAGTGGATACAAATCTGACTGTATTGTTTTCATTTACATTGTACTTGAAGTCTTTGGTTATTACAAGATTGACGAGAACAGAACTTTTACTGCCATAAAGTAATAGTTGATAGTAATTTAATTTCACATCTCCAGCCAATGCAAATCCATATTTACCAACTGCAGTTAATTCATTGTTTTCAAGCTTGCTAACAGTAACTGCTTTTGCGACAATAGTCGCAACTGTTGGAGGATTAGTCGCCAAAGATTTTGGCCTTCGAATTTGATTGCTGGAATCATTCTGTTTGAATGATTCGCTTTCAATGGTAAAGTCCATAAATAAAAAAATGCTTACAAGTAAATACTTGTACAGTAATTAATAATTGTTGACTACATATGAATTTAAAACAATATGCATTTTGCATATTTTAATATGATTGTTTATCAATTAATATCATAATAGTATTTTTTTATCATGAATGCCAGATGATAACATGGGGCAATCAACATGTCTTATGATTATAGGACTCACTACTTTAAAAATGTTAAATGTATTGAATTTTATGAACCGAATAGTCCAAATTTGTGTACCCTATTGAGAAACAAAAGATTGCATCCTGAAGTTACAACTTACAAAGCAGGCACTAATGTGCGGAATAATTATTACGGTAAATTAATGAAGTGCAAGAAGATAGTAAAATAAGAACATTTCTTTATTATTTGTTGACATTTATTCTGTATATAATTTCATATAAATCTTCAATAATTTGTATGTTTGTGTCTGAGACTGAGACTTAAGTTATAAATTAACTTAACATTTTTATATATTGATACTTTACATTAGATAAAATTATATTTAAAAATATAAATTGTACAAATGACCTAAAAAACGAGTTCTAACAAATAAACTTCACTATACCTACATATTTGACCAAAATTGTGACATAAAAATAATAATAATACATTTCTGATAAAGTACTACACTGCTATGAGTTACCTTGCACTTAATCTTACATCATAAGATGTATTGAAATAAATTACACGTACTTAAGTCAGAAGTAAACATTTAATATTTGTTTGATATAAAAAAAGTTATAATTAAAACACATCTAAAAATGGGAAACTAGCTTTCTCTGGTTGAATTAAATCACTTAAATAACACACTGTGCCAGCTAATCCTTCGTATAAACTGTACAAATTGTCTGGTCTTCTGGATCCTTGAATACATTCATCGGTGAATATAAATTTACCAAATTGTATAGCTCGGTTTAAATGTTTTTTATCGCCGGTCAATCTATATAGTAGTAAGAAAACATATCCATTTCCAGCTATTCCATGGCATAATCCTAAAATTAATAATGAATATTAATAAATTAAAATCTAAACAATACCATAAACCTAGTTTACCAGGGCCTTTTTTTAATAGTCCTTTCGTCCAAACCAAGTCTCCACATTTTAAACAGCATTCCAAATAAGAAGGTTCTTTAAAAACCAAATATGCTTTAGCTAATAAGTATACAACACCTAAAAAAAAAAAATATCCGTTTAACAATACTTACATTGTTTAATTATTATTGTTAAATATTCTAAGTTTACACAAATTGTATTTTAAAAATTAATAACCTAACCAAAATAATTATAACAAAATAAAGTTGATTACCTGGAGCTCCGTGACACCAATGAACCAGTTCATCTTTTTCAGGTCTTTTTCTTGAATTCAATTCATCCATTGCACATGGAAAATTACCACTTGATGTTTGAAGCGATATTAGTGTATCTATACATGTTTTGATATCTTCCATAGCTTTTTGTTCTTTTTCAATAAAACAAGGAAATGAAATTAATACTTGTAGAATTGTACACAGACCATGAGCAGCACCTAAGAAAAGATTTTAATAATTGATTAAATATTCTGAAAAACAAATTTGTATAATAGTTGTGAATACTTACCTAAATATTCTGTATTATAATATGAGTACATGAGAGGAAATATACTTTTATTTTTTTTAGAATAATTGCGTCCAGATTCCACAATTGTTGAACAAAGTTCAATAATATCTTGGTCAGCTATTATTTTCTTACTAAAAACTTTTTCTAACCATAAAAGTCCATAAAGATAACCAGCACGACCAACAAATAGTTCGTCTCCTCCCGGCTTAAAAAAATTAATTGGCTTACAAACAGCTAATCCATTTTTAAAACGCTCTAAATACATTTCTGCAGTTTTCTCATCTCCAATTTGGTGATATATAGCAGCATTAACAGCATTAATTCCAGCATCGCCACAAATGAATTGACTTGAGCATTTTTCAGATAAATTGTGTCCCATTAGTCTTGAAACTGCAACTGCTTTATTCAATAAGGCAGTGGAATCATTTTTAAACCCTTCTGACTTAGATAAATGATAAAACATATATGCGATTCCAATTGTTCCAGTGTACAAGTCATTATCAGGCGACGATGAAGTATTTTGACTTACATACTCCATTAGACGGTACACATTATCTTTCCAAAAATCATGAGACGTATTTGAATTAAGTTCCTGACCATCAAGAAATACATTTTTGAAATAGCGTTTTGACATCTTCCAAAAGTAGTATTAACCGTTAAAAAAAAATGGCCTAGGTAATTGTTTTTTTTCTAATGTTAGTTATAAGTATTCGGCATTAGTATATACAATGAGCATTTATAACATTTAGTTTAAAAATTAAAATAATGTAAGTAACTTTTTCGAAATACAACCTTATTTTATTTTTATAATTGATCTTCTACTTTGTAAGCTACCTCCAACACGCTTGGTACATACTATATAAATTAACAAATTACAATTAATAAAATAAATGAATAAGTACATTCAATTTGCCATGACAATCACCTACGACTTGCGACTTACGAGTAAACGAGTTAGAAAAGATAATAATATAATACTAAATATAAAACATAGGAGTCAGAAGACTGTCGCAAATATCTATCTATAGATAATTAATCTAAATAATATCACGATATCGTGAATAAATTATTATCTTTATTATCTGTAGTTGCCGGGCACGGCTTTAGATACTATATACCTAAAGCCGCGTTGCCGGGCGACGAATATTTGTGATAGCAATGTTAGTAAACACGGCTTAGAATAAAAAATATACAAAGTCCACCCACAGACATACTAAACACATGTTAATTATACTAAACGAAATTTGAAAAAACATTTTTTTTTTTTTAATTTTTAATGCACACACCATTATTAAATCAATACTATATATTATTTTCGTCTTTCATATTCATCTTTCCACCCAGAATTTTAACAGAATGATTATTTAGATGTGATTTGTTGATTTGTTGTGGTTGGCTGCAAGACTACAAGCGTTTATAAAAAAAAAAATAACGAGGTAGGTAAGTAAAATAAAAAAAAAGGGGAACAATCAACAAGTGAATACCTACCCCTCTACTGGTGCCTGGTGTACATACGGTGTCGCGTAGACTACTGTAATGTGTGTGTTCATTTTTAACTCAACCGGCAATCATATGTGTAGGTGCTAAGTCCAATTCTGAGCGAAGCCTAATACATTTCTATAAGTGTATTTTATATTTAAATGCTTTTAATGTTAGTAAAGTAATTTATTTTACTAAGTACTAGTAAAACAGTACCCCGGCTAGGTTAAATTAATTTTTGATTCAAAAATTGCTTTTGAAAAACGTCATTGTCTACATTATATAAAATTTAATAGGTATGTAATATAATACTTAGGTGGCTAGGTACTAAAAGAGCTTCAAGTACCCGGGAATAATATTTTTTAATTAGGTACATCAAAGTAACTAAATTCGTAAGTCTTCGATTAAAAGATAATAATTCAAAACTTATATAATTCGTGTTATTTTTTTTTTAAATTATTGTAGCACATTAGGTTATTTATTGTCTATTTTAGGTATTATACTGTTATAAATATTATTGTAAATGGAGTTGATTTCCGTAATAAAGAATATTATTACCTATTATTAAACATCACCTAATTTCGTCCAAATTTGCAGAAAATAAAATATCTAAAATAAACCGTCACAATACATTTTTATATTTTTTGGTTGCACTGTTGCAGTATGAAGTATGAACTACTTCTAAGAAAACCAACTGTTTTAAATATTCACTATACCTAGCTATAAAAATTAAACATTTAATAAATTTTAATTACAAATAAGCTTCGTAATTTTCGAGGTAATTTTGATGAACTTGTTAACTTTAAATTCTTATAAATACATTTTTGAACTGCTATTATAACAACTTATGAGGAACCTTCTATTAAAATGTCAAGCTTTTTGACCCAACAATGTCTATAAATATAGCTAAACAAGAACTAAAATATTTTGAAAGTGTAAAATATCATATTATTTGGTCAAAATATCAAGAATCTACGATTGTTAAAATCTGGGTTTTCTTAAAAATATTACCATTTTTTCTTAATTTTTTTTTTGTTTATCCCTACGCTTTTAAAAACTACTGGAAATTTTTTGTCATTGACTTTTCTCGCTTCTTAAAATTGATTTATCTCCGGCCTCCAGGTATCTCTGTCATAACATATATACACTTACACTTAGTAATATAGGTTGACAAACCGGCTTCGCTCAGAATCATTTTTTGGACATATTGATTTTTTATCATTAAATTAAAATTCACTACATTACAATGACTTAATCAATAACGGTTTGTACTCAGAATTTATCTATAATATCTTTATATACATACAGCAAAGTGGTTACCTACCTATTTCTCTCCTTTTTTATATTAATATTAATATAAATCACAATAGGTAGATAAATATCCATTTTTCTTGTATTTCTTAGTTTTTTTAGGAAAAGATGACAATAAGATAGTAGTAGCCTCATAGGCTCAAATAAGGGGGTTGTTTTATCGGCTGAGTCCCTCATAAAAAATGTCAATCCTCTTAACCCCCGAACATTTTTAAACATTTTAAGTTAACTCAATATTATTGTGGTATGGCTTCTAGCTACAGTATTTTGGTATTTTATGTTTTATTATACTAACGAGTATGTAGGTTAAATGCGTTATTGCTTTAAAATAAATGAAGTGTGTTCCAGTCATATTGTAGAATCTAAATATTTTATGCCGTCAGCGTTGGCCGTTCAGTGTTCATGTTCGATCGTAACAATATTATCGAATGCGTTTTGAAATTACACACAGATCAAAGTCTTAGGTAATAATACTACGAATTCTGTGTCAAAAAAATTATAGGATATATCAACTACCATTAATATTCATTATTATATTTGGACGTTGTACAACGGCAAGTGAATGTTTACACCTTACAAACTCAAAATAACACTAGGGTTTACTTGGGGAATTTATAAAATATATTTGTTCTTATTATTTAGCGAATAGTGTTACACCGTTACTTATCGATTTCTACTAATTTAAAAGTGAAAGAATTATTTAATAATCAACAAATGTATCCACCTGTTCATTTATTTGAGGTAGTGACTAGTGGTGTACACACAACTAAATCCACATTTGCACTTAAAGGTTTAAATCATATCTAAGACGAAAGGCCAAAATGTGAAAGAAATCTTTGAACGTTGTTACAAAAAAAATTGAAACGATGTGGTTAATTATCTACATGACTACATCCAATGGGTTCATATAATTATTAATTTATATAAATATATAATAAAGGAAACGGAAAACTAATGGTGTCGCCGTGTAGGACACACGTACAGAACAAATAAGTATTATACGAGTAAAATATCTAGCTTTGTCTAACAAACATTCTAAAGTTATTACTTCTTATACTGAGTTATACTATTATATGTATGTATAATATTAAAACTATTAATAATAAATGCTATTCCCATATATAGTGCATTATCACATACTAATTAAATGTTCCACACTTCCAAGGTATGTCAATATCATATACGCGGTCCGCGGATCAGAATCTGCTTAAAATTAAAACTACGTCTTCAAAACACTCCATCGTTAACATCACCGTTCAAGTTTGTATTACTTTTTGCCTACCTATTAACTAGGTAATCATTGCGTTATTCAATCACAATAATAATGTTTTAAATATATATAATATATTCCCTTATGTCCATATAATGATACGTTTGATGAGAAATAAATTGTTGTGTTTATATAGGAATACGTAGTTTTCCGTTCAATGGACATACAAAAATGAATAAATATGCTACATAATAAATATAGGTATCCAACTCGAGTTAGAATAATAAATATAGGTATAAGGATTATTTACACAAATGTATCTACATTCTTCCGTCGTAAAAAAACGTCAACAAAAATACGTGGTCATAACTAAATTTAGGTTCTGAGATAAAGCCGTTATTTTAACACTCGTATCCAACACGCTACACCAAGTAAAATATACATATTACGCAATCGTGTTACGTGCCTATTCGCTGTTCACCTGAAATTTGCATTTCATTTCCACCAATTCGATATGTAATATCGAATAATTCCACTATTGACCAGATGTAAACTATAATGTTCGTTAACTCGTATTGGGTACTAATATGTCTTATATAAATAAAACATTTGAAACAAAAGTAATCTTGATAAATGCATGCGTTATTTTTTCAGAGGCTTCTATAAATTAAATTAAAATGAAGTCTATATTAGTTTATAAGATGTACTTGCTCGTTAAGTGGTGCCAAGAATATAAGAACCTCAGAATGCAGATGCTTCCATATTTTTCGAAAAAAATAAGCTACCGAAAACTTAAATTTTAAAATAGGTTCCTCGATTTACTCTAAAGTCTAAACGATATAAAAATAAGATTGATTCAACATTTTGAAAGGGCACATGTAAACTCCCCTAAAATGTTGTAAATTCCCCTAAAAACATTTTGCTACCGTATTACACTTTTGTAAACTCCCCTAAAAATATTTTACTAGCACCATTTAGCGTAACCCAGGGGACACCACGTGGAGGCGGTTCTATTTATCCTCCAAAAATATTTGTATTTTGTATCGCGTTTATATTATTTTATTCAAATTTATTTTGAAAAATTATTTTTCATTGTCATACTAGATGTCTAGGTTTATTAAAACCATAATTATTTTTTAATTGAGTAATAGTGTGAAACTGTTTTTATATAATGGAATGTAGTAATTTTGTACATTTTTTGTTTGAATATTTTTTAATGTATCTATAAATATAAAAATTAGTTAGCCATAATAATAAATTACTTATACGTTAACTCACTCTTTCTGTCATTATTTTTCTTCTTCTCTGTTCACTTTTTGTTATATCTCAAAACGTTATTATATGTATAATCATATCTATATACGAGTATATGTAATGTATAAATGTAAATAAAATAAAATGTAATACGCCTTTGATACCGCGGATAGTTTATTCAATTAAAAAAAAAAAAAAATAATAATAAATAAAAAGTTGACAACAGTCTATCTTTATTACCTCCTCCGGAAGAATTATCAAACGTAATACGGTAGGTCGGTAGGTAGCAAAATGTTTTTAGGGGAGTTTACATAAGTGTAATACGGTAGCAAAATGTTTTTAGGGGAATTTACTATTTCATTTTTTAGGGGAATTTACATTTGCCCTTTTGAATGTAGGCGTACAGAGAGCTGACCTTGGTCAGAGGTCTTACTGTCTTAGAGGACTCTATCTAAAACTATTATTTTATAATTAATAATATTTTTGAAACATAACATAACAATTCCAAAATTGACCATCTCCAGCACTAAATGAACTGTGTACAGAAAGTTTTAATTTTTTTTAACAGTTGTCATATATATGTAATGCGAAGTAAATATTATTAGATGGGTGGCTTGGCGTGGCGCGTTGGCTGCTACCAGTCGCGAAATGCGACTTGGAGTAAGTAACGGCCACCACAGCTACTAGCTCCCGGATGGGTGACCATCCGGGTTCATAGTAGTTAAAAACACCTTGCCACACATACACGTGTTTGTTACCTACCGTAACAACCCTAACAATCGTAAAAACAACCTACAGTACCAACCTTACCCCTACCACAGTTCATAACCCCTACAAC